TATATAATCAATTTTATAACTCTAAATAACACTATATAAATTGTGACAGATTAGAAAAGAAAATTTAAGTAACAATTTCTATTATGACTTTGACATCTAAGGTGAGAAGAAATTACAGGCAGGTATGAGATTACATGAATTCAAGGAGATTACGGACTTGGACTCTGGTGACTCAACAACTGTTAATATTGGTGTTGATTTCTGCGACACGATTCAACCAGCAAATTTTGAAATACGGTAAGTTGAGATTGCAGATTTATGCCATAAATTTTTAGCATCTAAGCACACGTTTTCATTGTTGGAATGTTCAGAATAATTCAAAAACATCACATTATATGGAAAATGTATACAATATAATTATACTGCCCCCTATATTGAAGGTTGTCTATTTCATTTTTGTAGTATCCATGTGTTATATCACTTATCCATTGCAAAGAATGGTTATTCATCTAAAAATAATATGTTAATGTTTTTATTATTATTTATTTTATCATTTGTACAGTTGTTATCATGGTATCATTTTATATTAGTATTATCACTGTTACATCCTAAGGAATGAATATTCACAATTAATGTACAGTATATTACTTTTATTATTGTATTATTATTGTTATCATTATTATAAGTATGATTGTAATTGTTTTTCAAAAGGAATAATTATACTCAAATATAAATATGATTTTTAATTTCTTAATTATTATCATACATATGATTAGTATCATCATCATAGTGTGTGTATTATTCCATCATTCATATTAAGTGATTGTGTTCATATATTTCTTTTGACATAAAACATAATTTTATCACTGATTTATTTTTATTTTCCTTATTTGTATTCAATCACATTTACCAGTGTCACTGATAGATTTGACACTTGCATGTAAGTGGTGTTATGCTGAATCTAGTTTGCAAATTATTTATTTGTTCATCAATATTTGAGCATCCATTGTTAACACTAACCATAACCTTTTCAATGTTTTTCATAGTCAACTGAACTTTTCAGATATTTTATATTGTCTACATTGAGCTAAAAGAATGAAAAAAAAATATCAATATGAAAAAAAAATATCAATATTTAATTAACTTGCTTATTTTAAAGTAATCAATCAAATCAGTCAATCAATCAATCATTGTTTGTTTTTAAACTTTCAAATATTGTGATGTTGCATTTACTATAATATGACATTGACCATTGTGTAATTTGTAAACTACTTTAATACTTATATGGGGCTTGCCATGCCAATGGCAGCATCAGTGACCAAAACAACAAAATTCATATTCTACGCAATATAAGTTATAAAATGATGGGTCATTTACAGGAATCCACTTACTATTGCCAAAGTTATGAATTTCAAGTATTATGGCTTCTCAGTGCTAAGGTATACAATGCTGCCACAATCTATACTAAGTACTCAGTTTAACATTTAGTGTCAGTACGCTGGTTTTGGAGCGGCAAGCCTCATGTTTTTAATTAACAAAATTACTGTAACCGTTAACAATTATTGAATTATTATTGAATTATTATTTTTTCAATTATTGAATGACAGTACTTTGTTAATGCTTCTTCTGTATGCTGTGCTAATTCAGTAACTAATTAATAATATCTGTTTGATATTTTGCATACAGGTGATTTTTATGACTTGTTATTAGGAGAAATGCTACCCCCTTTTTCCTGTACTTGCTTCTTGCTTAATAACTTTTTTTTTCTTCATCTTAAATTGTCAGATACAATAACAATGATGTTCAAGTATAACTAGAATCACTGTTAAGTTTTTGATATTTTGACATTAACTTTACAATGTCACAGTGTTCTTACTGCATGTTTTATGGCAACACAAAATGCCATTTTGGTTTACAGTTACTTCTCTACTGGTTGATGTACCTATCTACTGTATGTAATATTCTAATTCGATAATTATTCAGCTGATTAATTGATTTTTTACCAATTTATGATGTAATCTTAATTATGCGCCAAATCACCTTCTCACAAAATAATGTAGTATACAATTACTAGACGCTAATTCCAAATAGAACCGAGAATTGTACAAAGATAAAAAAAAGCAGGTCATTTAAACATACTTGAATCAATTAATGCAGTTTTTATCTAAGACAGTAGTATGATGGTTTGGTACATAAGCTTATGCAGTTCACTTCCGCCTATGTTAAAGAAACAATTTTGAAAACCTTCCAAAGATTAAATAAAAATCTTGAAATGCTCATCTAAAGAGAACAAATAAATTTCAATTTCAGGACTGAATCAAGGAAATATAATGTAAGCATCAAAGCTCCTGTCGGTGAACTCGTACAGCCTGCAGTAATGAATGAAAGAGACTTCCAAACACAGCAAGGTATGCATATACCATAAATACACTGTATTGCTGGTTCATGTCAACAGTTACATTTTGAGAAAAATGTGATGTCCTCATTAAGATTTGAACTCAAAGACCCCTATTACTGTTCGATTGCCATACAAACTAAGTTGTAAGGCCCAGTTTACACCAACTCTTTGAATTTCCTCTTCATTTGTGGCAAAGACAAGCCAAACCAGTCACTCCTCGCAAATCATTTTTCTTAGATAATGGCCAAAACATGTTGGAATGTCAACATTTTCAAAATCTATTTTATTGCATTGGTATAACCCTTACATATCTATACATCTTGCTATGTTGTTATTTTCTCCATTTTTGGCAACATTTTTTAATAATTTGGTGATGGTTTGTGCTTGAGAATTCCCCAAAGTCGTAAATTTTGAAGGCTGATTTCTCAAATAATGTTATTTATACAGCTGTATGTTTAAACTCCTATAACTTCACAACAAAACATCAGATTTGAACGTTTCTTTCACCTTTTTATAACTTTCATTTTACTGTTTAAACCTGTATTAATAACTAAAAATCAACTGGTTTGGCTTGTCTTTGGAACATGTAGAAAAATTGATTCATATTCTTTACCTAACTAATATGACACTTGTGTATAACTATTTTACTGAATAGTTAATTGTCTACCTGAATGCACAACTGTTTACCTGAATACAGATGTTACTATTTACCTGGATGTGCATCTATGTCATGAATGTACATGTACAACCAAGGAGGTGTATTTACTAAAATCTAAAACTCTTTACCATGGTAAATGACTATTTCCTGAATTACTTTTTATCAACATTTCATTTCTGTTTCTAATTTGCAGGTAAATTAGCTGGAATGAATGAAAACTCAGAAAAGGTTGATATTCCTGATTCACTGAACAACCAAAAAGCAATCATGCAAAAAGTTGGTGAGGTTGCAAACGTTCAAGTTGTACCACCTAGCGATCCTACCGCTACTACCTACCGGTTTGCTGGTAAGACCATATCAGACGGTACGCTGGTTTTGGTAACAGTAAAGGCTGACGGTAATAAGAGTAAAGTAACAGTAAATTGCGAGAAAATGGTCATAGGAAACATGTTGCCAAAAGATATAAAAAAGTCTATTCAAAAATTGTGATACTATAACGATAAAGATGTGGAGTCATTTGTGTTGTCTTAAGTCACTTGAAACTAGGAAAGAAATATAGATATTGGAATATAATTGATTTCATAAGTACAAATAATTAGATAAAAATATTTATTAGTCAAAAACTAAACCACATAAAAACATCTGTAAAATGTTGTTCTAACAACAGTAAATTGTGAGAAAATGGTCATAGGAAACATGTTGCCAAAAGATATAAAAAAGTCTATTCAAAAATTGTGATACTATAACAATAAAGATGTGGAGTCATTTGTGTTGTCTTAAGTCACTTGAAACTAGGAAAGAAATATAGATATTGGAATATAATTTATTTCATAAGTAAAAATAATTAGATAAAAATATTTATTAGTCAAAAACTAAACCATATAAAAACATCTGTAAAATTAATATTATATAAACCATGGGGCCCACCAATAAGTTTTATATTCAAAAATATAATGAGGCACACTTGGATGTGTTATAAGCCATCATGATTTGAAAATGTTAAATTATATATTTGGTCATCTTGAGGACGAGTTTTATAGACAATCTGACTTACTAGTGTCATGAAGGTACCATGCTGATTTATACTTGGGTGCCAGTTATAAATGAGAATAACCATTCAAATTTGAATCAAATAATAAAAGTACTATAAAAACGCTTTTCAAAGCAGTTCCCCCAACGTGATGAGGGTCCAGAGTTGGGTCCTGGACCCTTGATGGCAAGGCAACTCATCTGTTATTGTGATCAATGTTTAATGATTAAAATTTATATGCTGAAGAAGGTACTTGAAGCAATTACAGTACAAGTTTACAGTGTATTCAATATTATCTGTAAGATTGCATGTGTAAAGTAGAAACTCTTGAGAAAATTTATTTTAAGTCTGTAATGTCTTGTTAATTGATAAACTTACAATCTGCATGGTTTATATATTCCTGGTCAATAATCTATACAAATTGCAGTTGTCTTCAATTGTTGATACTCTTATCACTGTTTTGTAGTATTTATAAATCTTATTATTTCTATATTACCAGAAATATTGAAAAGTGGTAACCTGTAGGCCTGTAAGAAATATTATTATTATGCTTTCATCTATTTGTTGATACACAAATAGCCACGTCTTAGTTTGTAAATAATATGTATGCAATGTATAATTAATCGTAAAAAGTATAGAAATAGATACCGGTAAGTATTATAATAAGTGTTCGGTACTTAAAAATAAATTTTTTTCTTGTTTTGTGTTGCTATGAATTAAAAAAATAACTGTGCCATTCAGAGTGTAGAAATAGTTTACTGCCATGAATATTCATATAAAGTACATGACAAATTATTGAAAACATATTTATGATTATATTGCACTCAAAAAATCTCATATTGAGATTACAAAATAAATATATAATTGGTAATTTGTTAGCTGTAAATCCTACTTATTAAGAAAATTATTGACAGGGCTATTATTGGAAGTAGTTAAGCCAGGCATGTGGTGTCAGGTTTTGGTCACTTGTTATGTTAACCTTTCATCAGACATATGGTAGAGCAACTACCAACTCCTAACAGGGGGCAGACATACTTTTTGTTTCATTGGATATGTCTGAGGCTAGACGTCAGATATTGTTTATCAAACAATATCAAGATCGGAGATTGTATGCCCAGTATTAATACAGTTGAACTTGTCAATCTTATTTTACATGCCAAATTGTTGTGTTTCCATTAAAAATCTGTAAGTCATTTTTGTTCTAAGTCGAACAATATTTCAATGCAATTTTGGATTCGACTTAGGCAAGTTCATCTGTATATTATTGCAAGATCTAAAAACTAAATAAACTTAAGCCATGCACTTTCAGATACTGTTTTATAAAACGGTGTAAAGCTCGATAAACACAGATCAAAATATATATACTGTACCTGTGCTTAGTATATTGTTGGTCAAGTTTTAGAGAATACTTTTACTGTAGACCTTAAAACACATGCTTTAATGATGTCATCAGTAAATATTGTTGGATAATTACCGCCAGAAGGCTTTTGACTGACAATGTTTGTGGAACATAATTTTTGATTGGCTGAAACAATGGCCATGTCTTTCCTCTTGTTTTCTATTTGTTTTTTCTTGTTTTTGTGTTTTATAATATCTGAATACATTCCTGAAGGAAGGTAAAACTCTGTTGAAACAATTTTAAATTGTCAATAATGGTATATGCAGCAGCAAGATATAAAATAGTGTGTATGTATGAATAAAAAGAAATATATTATTGCCATTGAATCCATTTTTGTTTTGTTTTGGTTTTGAGTGTCAAAGAAAAGATAAACAATAATTTTACAATAAACATTAGCCACTGGAGTATAATAACACTGCATCAGACGCCCATGAACCGAGAACAAAAAAAGATGTGATATGAATATATAATTTCTGATATGCTAACTGGTACCAAAGAGTGAGCCATGTGGCAGTGGGCTGTCAATGGTGGTTTAAGATGTAGTTTCCATTTTGAATATTTAAATTCTTTTTTCCAGATGGCTACCTTACAGAGAAACATAAATACCGATATCTGGTAGATTGTTAAAAAGTAATACAATATAAAAGTCAATATAAAGACTGTTCTGGTGAAAACGAAATGATAAAACCATAAAACTTAAAAACAACATCTATATCCTTTCTCACACTTTGTTTAAAATTAAGCTTCCTTTTATACATAACTTTTGAAAGTTTTGGAAAAATTAACAAACTGATGGTCAAATCAGATGCATATATCAAAGTACAAATATAGAATTTATTTTAAAATGTTTTAAAAACTAATGTAAAATATCAGACCAGCTGACAAATTAATATGCAACATAAAACTATAAATAGATTTATGCATAAATTCACCAAAACTGGGAAGACCAGAATTAACAAACATCAGAAGCACTACAAAATTTACTCTTTTTTTAAGTAACATACACAAAGCATTATTATCAGGGGTGGTGCCACGATTTTCCCCGACGAGGAGGATTTTAATTGTATTATTGTTATTGATATTCATACATTGCTGCTGCTCTTGTGTTTTATAGATAACTCAATTTGAGTTTTGACTGTATATCGGGAAGGAAATATACAAAATGATTTATCAATGTAAAAATTTACAATACACAATACAGTATTGCCTAATATTGCACAATGATGACGAGCCCCATGGAACATTATGATTGGCTGGCGTACAAAATCTAACACCTAACTAACCACTAGAGTCAAATCAAAACAAACAACAGGGTATTCGCTGTATTTGGAAAGTGGTGAGTGAAGTTGTGTGTTATTATTAGTTCGTCGCTAAATTGGTGATATAATTATCTACAATATCAAAGAATACAATGGTATATTTATTTACCCAAATATTTTATCAAATTCTTGTCACCGGTGTTGGGCTAGTGTTTTTTTTTCAAGCTCCGGTTAGGCCCTAGGCCTCAGGGTTAGACCACCACATTGGTCTAGGCCTAAGCATACGCTGTTCATTGGATCGAGAACATCGCTTGTGCTATCTAACTGATTAATTGAGGAAGTGATCATTAGGCTATAGTTAGACATCAATAGAAGGAAGATTGGAGGATCTTGCTTTATAAATATTAGGTTAAAATAAGTAAATTTTATCGTATTATTTATTGTTCAGTCTATATTATTTATTGTTCAGTTTTTTATATTTGACTAAGCATACTACTGGCCGGGTCCCTGGCCTAAGGGAGTAGAGAAGAATTTCTCTTTATTCAGATACAGTAATACAATCATCTTTATCTTGTATCTTGTGTCTTCCTAGTTATCCTAAAAAATTGTGTGGTCTTATTATTTTGTTATACAGGTGATTGCAATTAAAATGGAATTCAAACAGAATGAATTGCCAGAAGACCTACAAAAATTGACAAATCAGGAGTTAGCTGATCTGTTGAGAAGGCAAGAGAAAATACTGAAAAATAAGTACTGTATCTTTACTGTACTAACTGCATGTTTTTGTATAAATAAAAATAGTATTTTGGCCTCCACAGAAATGAATACTAAACACCAATAATCTGAAGAACCAATAGCTTCTTTGCATGGTATTAGCTCTCACTGAGTTGAAAATTGAAAAATATTTTCCTAGTGAATTTAACAAAAACCAACTAAATAATATCTTTCCTGTATTTGTTTTTGTTATTATAGTAAAACATTGGTAATCAGCAAAACCTACAGTTTTGTTCTTTGTCTTAGTGAAATTTGATGTAAATATTTATATAAAAGGACTTAAATTTTTTTTTGGTGGATTTCAACTTTTTTGTAGTTGTGCACATACAGTACTATCACAATTTCAGATCATGCATGTCCCGATTACCTGACAAAGGGCAGAAGATACAACTATTCAAGCAGAAGCTAGAAAATATCCTTACAGAACGAGAAAATGTTGATGAAGCAGCAGAAATGTTACAAAAGATGGACTTACAAACCAGCAAACAGCTTGCTGATGAGTCCAAAGGAAGCCTAACTAAAGAAAAGAACATATCCATAGATGCAACAACAGCAAAATCACCATTTAAACCATCTCAAAGTTTAAGATCAAAGGCTATCCCTGCAAATGTGGAGAGACCTCAAGTGATGTCATCAAAGGGGAATTCCCCTTCAAAATCACAAGCACATAAAGTTTCTGAATATTCCAATGTTGTTTCACCATTGGGAAAGTTTGAAAAGACAAAAGAACTGCCTCTAGAAGAGTCACATAAATTATTGGTAGAACAGAAGGAGAAATATGAGGTAAAGAATTGTATTTGCTAATTTATTTTATATCAAATAATTATTGTAATATGTTCTATTTATTTTGGATCCAAGGTGGTTTTGCTGTATGAAATGGACCAGAGTGTCTAACTTAACAACTGACCAATCAGAACAGGTCCTACAAACACACTTATGGGACCTTGGCAATAATATCCAAAGGGGTGGGGAAGGTCCATTATGCTCAATAAACATTTTGTTTTTAATTTTCCTTTTTTTCTCCATTTCCATTTTTTGTTTTGTTTTTAAGAAACTGGGAAACCAAACTGTTTCTGCTATGCCAAATCACTTCTTATATGTTGTGTTGAATGTTCAAGTACAGTATAATATTTATGCTTGAATTACAGGATCTTCAGGCCCAGCAAGCTGCTGAGAGGCTAGCAGAACGAATGCACTTGACTTTAGGAGACTATGAACCACAAGCTGATGATGCGTATCCTTTGTGTATTACAGTATTATCAATTTATTATTATAATTGCTATTTATCATTTAAACATTACAATAGTGTTGTACTGTATTTGCTAGTAGAAAATTCCTATTGTGGTGGGATGTTATTTTATTAGGGGCCTTGTATTACTAAATAGACAAATAAGGGCATAAAAAACTGTATAATATAAATCTGTAGAACGGTCTCAGGTTTAAAATTAAGGGGCCATATTTGACTCAATTTCTTTTTTTTATTCCGTCTCTAAATTAACTCTCGTTGGTGGCACTGTCCAGAATGATAAAAAAAATAATAAGGGATTTGTGGCAAGTCTAGTTGCCTGGTAGGACTGCAGAGAGTGTAGGAGTGTGTGTTTGTTGTGCATATTTGTCAATATGAATATCCAACGACTAGCAAGCACTTTGAGAGGTTTTAGATTGTAGAAAGTGCTATATAAAAACAGAATATTATTATTATATTCATCAACATTTGAGAGATGCTACTGCAATTTCCTTGACTTCTTTGAAAGTTATCGGGAGACAGGAGAGGTGAGCAGTGGAGAAGATGAGGAGACTGGCAATGTTGACTTGTCTGATTTGATAGATGAGACTTAGCAGCTCTGCTGATGGAATGCTCTCAATTTGATAAAAATTCATTCACTCTTATTGCATACTGAATTTTCCAAATATATATACTGAATAAAAACTAATACAGAACAATGAGTAATGGTTTTTTTTTAAAACTAATTTTAATTAAAAAAAACTTCTGTATACTTTTGTCCATTGATATAAAAAGTCATTTTATTGATACAAAAAGTCATTTTCACTTCAAATATACATGTTAAAACTGTCCCTAAACTTGTTCACTCCATGACGATAAAGACCGAAAAATAACCCATAACTCACAGCTGCTTAATTGCATATGGGCATGGTGACTACTTAAGCAGCTGTAGAGAGGGGCTTAGTTCACATCATTCTACGATGGGCTAAAGTGAACCATAGAATTGGAATAACCACCTACTCTGAAAGATGCAATAGGTTCTTTCAAGTGCACATGAGCCAGATGCGTGACTTCTACCAACTGAACCCTGGGGGTGAGGAGCAGCTCCAACAAGCACTGATGATTAAGGCTATAGTTAGCAGCCCCCCCTCCCCCAGCCTAAAGGCCAACTCAGACAGCGTCGTACGACGCAGCCCGACGCGATTTTTTGTCGCGTCGGGTCTGTGCGTGTTAAACGCAGACGCGATGGTGTGCGTTGGGGGCAGTCGGGTCGTAGAATATTAAACATGTTTAATATTTCTCACGACGGCTTAAGACTGTCCCCGGCGATAAATCGGGTCGGGCTGCGTCGGCCGACGCTGTCTGAGTTGGCCTTTAGAGATTGTTCACATTACTTGCCAAACTTCATAACTTATTAATCATATTTCACATTAAATAAATATTTATATGCTGTAAATACAATATTATATAATAATACTGACACAATATGTTGCATCTCAAAAAATGATGTATGGGAATAGGTGTGTTTAGATAAATAGGAAGCTTTTGGAACCTTATGGTAATGAAAATGTCAAGTTTTCATTATTCATTCCTACATAATGATTCACTACTTCACATCCGATAAACAAATTGAGTGTGCGCACTTTTGTTGATCTTGCCTAGGCTCCAAGTTTTTGGAAGGAGAAAGGGCATTTACATTCTGTTTCCTTCTGGTTTACCTCTGTATATGATTCTCCGTCTGTCACCACTTTTAAACCTGAATCTTACAGTATGTAAAATACTTTTTTCATTTTCGTACACACAAATTTTCAAACGATATTCTTTAGAAAAAAGAACAATAAAGATGTTCATAGTCGATTATTGTACCTATAATATATTCATAAGATTATGAAATTTCTCTATTTGCCGCAGTGGGAGGGGTTAGAAGTTGAGTCAGCAGCCCCCCATCCCCCCACCCTATGCCCATGGAAGCAGTTTGGCGCAGCAGAAACGGTTTGGTTTCTTGAGGTCGGGGTTTCAATCCTGGGCTGTGCACTTCGCTTGTGTCCTTAAGCAAGGCACTTTATCTGTGTTGCTTCTCTCCACCAAGGAGTATAAATGGGTACAGTAACTAGTGGGGCTGCCTGCTACTGCACAAATATGGCAGCAACAATTGAGCATGTATACTGGACTCAATGACGAGGGAAAACAGTGCTTCTTAACCTAAAGGAGAGGCACTATATAAATACCAAATAAATATAACGTATATATAATATACTTAAACAATCAAATGTAAAAAACATTCTTTAATAATTCTAATCATTATAAACTACTCTCTTCATTATATGTTTGTGAGGTTTGTGAGCCTTTCCGAGTCTTCACACTGACAAGTGGTTGAAGCTCGTCACTTTTGTGTAAAGATGTTTGCGAAACTCTAGTACGAGTTTTGTCCGTGTCACTACTGTGGTCGGAGCCAATTCGTTTGCGTACTGTTGCCTCATATTTGATAGCTTCCTCAGTGATTGAAGACTGTTTCTTTAACCGTCCCTATTAAATTAAAAAATGAATCTTTTAAATTGAGCTATCAATTATCCATTCTGTTTTTACATTCCACAGCTGTTGTTCCTAATTTATAGACCCATTTGGAATGGTTAAACACTCGGGACAAGACACTTAGGCCTGGCTTCCTTAAAGTTGCTACACTGTTACTCCAGTGTTTTCGGGGCAATCGTTGTAGTGTGTAGCGATTGTATGAAAACCAAGCTTTAAAAAAATCCCTCATGCCTGGGAGTCTGTGGTCATCTAGGGGCAAGATGTGTATAAGAGACAGGTGTGTTTGTTGTGGATTTTGACTATTATGAAGTCAAAATGAAGTATTTGAAATCATTGCGAAAATGATTAATACGCGCTACGCAAGGGGATACACACTTCTCAGTTGAGGCGTTGCCCCCCCCCCCCCCCCCTCCGGACACGGCTTAAGACTGTCCCCGACGATAAATCGGGTCGGGCTGCGTCGGCCGACGCTGTCTGAGTTGGCCTTTAGAGATTGTTCACATTACTTGCCAAACTTCATAACTTATTAATCATATTTCACATTAAATAAATATTTATATGCTGTAAATACAATATTATATAATAATACTGACACAATATGTTGCATCTCAAAAAATGATGTATGGGAATAGGTGTGTTTAGATAAATAGGAAGCTTTTGGAACCTTATGGTAATGAAAATCATTATGTCAACATAATCATTCCATACTTCACATCTGATACACAAATTGAGTGTGCACACTTTTGTTGATCTTGCCTAGGCTCCAAGTTTTTGGAAGGAGAAAGGGCATTTACATTCTGTTTCCTTCTGGTTTACCTCTGTATATGATTCTCCGTCTGTCACCACTTTTAAACCTGAATCTTATGTTCATAAAATACTTTTTTCATTTTCCTACACACAAATTTTCAAACGATATTCTTTAGAAAAAAGAACACTAAAGATGTTCATAGTCGATTATTGTACCTATCATATATTCATAAGATTATGAAATTTCTCTATTTGCCGCAGTGGGAGGGGTTAGAAGTTGAGTCAGCAGCCCTCCATCCCCCCACCCTATGCCCATGGAAGCAGTTTGGCGCAGCAGAAACGGTTTGGTTTCTTGAGGTCGGGGTTTCAATCCTGGGCTGTGCACTTCGCTTGTGTCCTTGAGCAAGGCACTTTATCTGTGTTGCTTCTCTCCACCAAGGAGTATAAATGGGTACTGTACCTAGTGGGGCTGCCTGCTACTGCACAAATATGGCTGCAACACTTGAGCATGTATACTGGACTCAATGACGAGGGAAAACAGTGCTTCTTAACCTAAAGGAGAGGCACTATATAAATACCAAATAAATATAACGTATATACAATATACTTAAACTATCAAATGTAAAAAACATTCTTTAATAATTCTAATCATTATAAACTACTCTCTTCATTATATGTTTGTGAGGTTTGTGAGCCTTTCCGAGTCTTCACACTGACAAGTGGTTGAAGCTCGTCACTTTTGTGTAAAGATGTTTGTGAAACTCTAGTACGAGTTTTGTCCGTGTCACTACTGTGGTCGGAGCCAATTCGTTTGCGTACTGTTGCCTCATATTTGATAGCTTCCTCAGTGATTGAAGACTGTTTCTTTAACCGTCCCTATTAAATGAAAAATGAATCTTTTAAATTGAGCTATCAATTATCCATTCTGTTTTTACATTCCACAGCTGTTGTTCCTAATTTATAGACCCATTTGGAATGGTTAAACACTCGGGACAAGACACTTAGGCCTGGCTTCCTTAAAGTTGCTACACTGTTACTCCAGTGTTTTCGGGGCAATCGTTGTAGTGTGTAGCGATTGTATGAAAACCAAGCTTTAAAAAAATCCCTCATGCCTGGGAGTCTGTGGTCATCTAGGGGCATTGAAATTGGGGGGGGGGGTTTTGAAGGGGGAACAAAAGTGGAAGGGATGATAAGGTGGTACGAGGTAATTAACTATTTTATAGCATAATTTTTTCTGCTTCAAAAATTTCCAGTGGGGGAACAAGCTTTTTTTTGGGAGAACGTGCACCCCCTGCGCACCCCTAGATATGCCACTGCTGGGAGTGATGTATTAGAGAAAGAAACTGACTTCTCACATGGTGCCGCATGCTTATCCTTGGTGGAAGCTACCGGAGCCCAACATATTGATGCTGAGGTACCTGCATGTACAAAATACCTCAAAATCAGGGAATGTGCACCTTCCTCCTCCCCTTCGCATTCGCGTCTGTTCAGTTAATTTTAGCTTCTTTGTGGCTAAAAATGCCTTTAGACGGTTTCTACTGTGGGAGGTGCTATAAAAGTACAAGACCATTGATAGCAATGTGTTGTTGATTTACAACTTACATGTTTGCTTGTTGTTTCTGAACTTGAGTATAAGGAGCGAGCACTTCCAACACTATGTCGCTTCACAGTCTCTTTGGCTTTCTTCGCTCGGTAAGTCTTGTCTTTAAGGCTGGTAACAAACAATTTTTTTTTACAAAAATGTATGCCACTTTTCAACTCATTAACAACAAAGAGTAGGAAAAAATTCAGAGCAACATTGAAGTAATCTATCTAAAGATACAAATATCAGTATATAATAATTATTATATAATCAATATATAATTTTTAATTGTAGAGAAGACTTGTCAAACTAGAGATAATGGCCAAAACATGTTGAATGTCAACATTTTTAAAATCTATTTTATTGCACTACAGTATACTAAACTTTATATATAATATACATCACGCTGTGATGTATATTAATGTAATATAATAATTTTGACATTAAAACAACTTTCTTTAATGATTTGGTGATGGTCTCTGCCTGAGAATACCGTAAACGTTGCAGGTAAATTTCTCAAATACTGTTCTTTAAACAGCTGTATGTTCAAACTCCTGTAATTTTATACATAACGAAATGTTGGATTTAAATAATTCTTTTACCATTTTATAACTTTTATTTTACTGCTTAACACTGCATTAATAACTAAAAATCTATTTTTGCAAGGAATGACTGATTTGGCTTTCTTCATCATAATTTGTACCCCTTTCAGAAATAATTTGTATAATGAATCAGTCAAACACAGTGTAACCTCCTCAATTCCAAGGGGAGAATATATATTAAGGCATATAATTCAGACCAATTTCTCTACAAACTATTAAAATCTTACCAAATTTAATGCTTTGTTGGAGAAACATAGATATTAAAGTGTCTTGCCCAAAAGCAGAAAGTTGAGCAGTTTTGGATTCAACCCCAATACACTTTGATTAAAAGCCAAGAATTGGCAGAGCCTTACAATTAATATGACAATGCAATATGACACAAGTAAACATTTTCTTACCATTTTATCAATTCGTTGAACATGGCAATATAGTCACTGTATTCCTTTTCCCCAAATGGCTACAAACATAAATTGATGACAAACGTAAATTCATTTGTTTTATGGAATCACTGAATGTACATCTCCATTAGAGAAGCAAAGAAAAACATACAGTAAGGGCAAATTTTTAGTGAGCTATTTGCTTATTATTGAATTAAGTCGTATTTGCTTTCAAGTAAAAATTAAAAACTAAAAATATATACTTTCTTTGCCAATTAACATATATGTCAAAGAACAATTTTGAACATTTTACAATGAGAATAGTAATTTGAAGATTTAGAATAGATTCGAAGAATGGAAAAAGCATTTTAGAAATAAAAAAGCAATGGCATATTACAACATTGAGTCTTAAATGCAAAACCACAAATTGCTCTTTCACTTAAAACAAGGCAAAAAAAAAATTTAAAAAAAATTACACAGAGCACCATCATCAATTAGCATAAATCAACATTACTACACAAAACAAAATATATATTATTATTCACAGGTATACAATATATAAATATATATAAAAAACTTGGGAAATGAAAATGAGAAACACAGTAATTCACAAGGTATAAAGATGGTAATGAATGATGATGAATTGGAAACTACCTTGGGAGGTTGGGTTAACTATTTTAGTGTTTTAAGTTATTGAGAAATGAAAGGGTAATTTCAAATATGTATCGCAAAGCCAATCAATGGTTCAGCGAAACAGTAGTTGATAATTATACAGTACCAAAATTAGACGTGTGGTTTGGTAGCAAAGATGCCTGCCTTTCAATTACAAAGTCCCGGCTTCAAACCCTGCACACTCCATATTTTTTTTTCTCCGAACTAAAACAACTCCACTCCCTAATCCTCATTCGCTCACTGTGGTCGATGGTCGTCAGTCAACGCGATCCTCTGTGCGCAACGGATCGTTTTTAATGTTCATCCGTTCATCGCTCAAAGGAGTGGAGTTGGCTTCGCAGTGAGTCCCCACTTAAGAGAACGAGTCATTCGATTTTGGAAAAATAAAGAGAAGTACAAAACTGCCAAAACAAGACAATGCTTCTGGAGTAAACACTTGTTTTCCAATTCATGTACATGTACAATGCACAGAGAAAACCTACCTTAGACATAAGTTTATAATCCTGTATTGTCATTGGTCAAAGCGGATATTGAAAAGTAAGCATAAGATCACTTTGTGTACTTAACTGCTGAAGACAATCCATTGTCATTCATTAAATTTATTAAAAAACGAGTTTGTGGTAAAAAAGAATAAGCACAACATGTAACAAAATGATAATCATATAATCAAAATATGATTATAATTTGGTTGTGGTGATGATGATACTTATAAGAAAATTATACAACTATGATGATAATGATGATGTCACTGCTGATGATAAAAAAATATTTAAAAAAAAACAAAATAAGAAAATAATGATGAGGATGATAGTGATGATGATGACGATGAAGATATGACGTTTACGATACTCTTGAAGACAACTTTATTGACAATTATAATTATTGATTATGATACACATGATAATCTACAAGGAATTGTATGATAATGATGTTCCTATTTATTTCATGATGAAAATGATAGTGGTGTATTCAATGTAAATAACAGTAAATATGAATAAAAATTTAGATAAATTTACCTTATAACCAAACCTAGCATGTTCATATGAATCGGCAAATGCTGATATCAGAGATGATCCTGCACCCTTTAAAACCTCTTTTGATAGTCCTTCCAGGTACCTGCGAACTTCTTCACAAGGTCCCCTAGCTAGGCCTGGATGCAGTTCTTCCATTTCCTTATCTACAAAATTAAGATACTAGTTGGTTGCGTTTTCAGATAAAAATTTCTAGTATAGCTTAGTTTCCTGGTTTTATAGCTATTTAATTTTATTTCATTAAAATAGTGGGGTGCTCACACACATATTCCAACGATACATGTTACAGAAAGAATATTTGGATGCATGAATAGTAGTGCTAGCTGCAAGAAAATACTTAGTCCACCAGAAATACGGATTTGAAGCACCAAAGTTGGACATAATTGCAACAAAATGTTTTTTTATGAATATATATAGTTAAATTTTATATCTACAACATACAAAAAGTTTACCAAAATATACCCACGGGAAAGGTGATTTTTATAGCAAAGAAAACTAAACTATTTCACTGGGCTTATACGCCGTGCCTAGGATGTGTGTGCTGTGCCTTGGTTACGAAGCGCTTTAATTTGATTTGCCGCTGACGCTTTTGATTGGTTTACAATTTTGGCTATTGTCTTCAATTTGCGTGCCTGCATGCAGTGTACTATAATCTCAGTCAGACCGCCGTTTGTTTAATAGTGTTTTTGTTTGGATGCATGTATCATGAATAGAGTAAACGACTCAATAATTAGCAAGCCCTATGTTATGATACAGATTTGAATCCTAAAAATAAATTCAAAAGGCGTCAAAATATAAGTTGAAAGATTTTTTATTTTGAGACTGCTCTAGTTTTTGCGATACTGTACAATGAAAAAAAACCAAAAAAAAAAAAAACACGGACTCGACAATAAATAAAGTAGTAGTTCTACATCAGTAGGTCGATGCATTTCTGGTTCCATTCTACACTTAGATACTGATGAGACTACATTGAAAATAGCCCCAGGCCTACGTTACTAAGATTTTCTATATATGTTCATGCGTCCGTTGGCCGCCGAGAAAACGTTGCGATGCGGGGAAAGTGACACACTTCATGGTGTGCGCGACTACTAGACTGAACCGGGAAGCAAGAAAGCAATGCCTAAGCTAGGGCCTAAAAAATGAGATGTTATTACAAGGCCTCAGGCCTAGACTTTACAACAAAATTTGTCAGGATCATACATGAACTAACTCTGGTATGATTCCAATTAATTTCCCATATTTATAGCTCTGTAATTCCTGTAAACCGGAAGAAATATATCTGTGATTCGCACACCAAACCTCGCGATCGCGAAGCTCGCACGCGGGTCTCACTCTTCCGGCAACAAACAGATATGACCTACATTGATTTTTTTATTTTTAGCATCAAAAGAATACTATCGTTGATGTTTTAGTTGCTTTATCTCGGGTGGGGCTGTCTCTTATACACATCTAGATGTGTATAAGAGACAGCCTTTATGTACGTCCTATTTTGGTAAACTTTTAGTATGTTGTTTTACATATAATTAAGTTTATATTTAGACCATAAAACGTTTTGTTGCAATTTTGTCCAGTCAAATCCGTATTTCCGGTGGACTAACTGTATATTATCATGTATAAGACAAGGCTTTAAATAGCAAATTAAGATCGAAAAACAGGGTGTCGTCTTATATGCACTATACATACAAATCTTAATTTTTAAATCATGTAGTCTTATGTACAGATTGTCCGTTACTTGCAAATTCACTCCTGTGATGAAGCTACTAACTGTAGTATGAATGCAATATTAAATGTAGGGAAATAAGATTTTGAAGCCCATAAAAATGGTGTTACTGTATTTGGAGGATTAGTCCTACGTTTGATTCCGTTTTTAGCCAGCTGGATGCAGTATCAAGACCATAATAAGCAGTAAAAAGTAGGAATTCCGACGGTGAAATGTAAGGTCGTCTTATATGCCCGACATACAAAAATTGACAAAAAATCTTGGGGGTCATCTTATACACGAATAGTTTAAAAGATAACTGAAGCAGTTTAAAAGTTGTTCATAAAATTGACTGCACACAAGAGCTATTGATATGTGCTCCTGCCAACTGTAAACAATGCAACTTGACACCAGCAGGTAACTCTTGGGTGTGCCAGGCTCTACTACACTTGAAATTCAGGCACAGAGAGCAAAGTAACCGAATCGCCAATCATACATGGCCTGCGAATTGTTTGATATTCATGCACAGGGTGGAGGTATGCACTACAGTATATGGAGTGACTGCTCTAGTAGGTTATGTTTTTTTTTTATTCACTCAATGCCTTACCAAATTGCTTAAACCGGTCTACAGCCATCATACGGTAGACATAGGTACACTTCTCTGAAAGAGATAACATTTTATTGATTGAATAATGATGAACATAAAAAGGAAATTGAAATAACAATAATTACTTTATATAATAGATTATCCAATCATATCTTATAATTTACGCATTCATAAAAAAAAAAATATTCATTTGTGTAAAGTTTCTCCTATCTCCACTCACTAAGCTCATAATGTGACTTTGGATAAAAAGGAAATAAATTAAAGTTATCCTCACCGTCTGCAGTGTTATCACCTCCAATATACTTATCAATTCTGTAATCATCTTTTTGTAGCAGGTTTGGTTCATGCTTTATGCTAACAATTCGTTGTATTTTACGCTCTACTGTGTTCTGTTGCTCTTTGGATAATCCCTTCCCAATGGCAGTGTGTGGTCCTCTGCTGGACTTCAGTGCAAACCTCATTATTTGTCGTTTGGCAAATATTAATAAAATGACCACTATCTAGAATTTAGAAGGAGTATGTACTAGATAGAATACAGCAGAAAATAATAAATGAATATTTTGACATGAGTGCCAAGACTCAACCAAATGCTGTTCTTTTTTTTTTGCAAATGGGATATATACAGTATTCTCCGAGCAGGCTTTTTACAGCCTGGAGCTTAGGATATTCCATTATAATTCACTGCAATATTAATGGCTCTTCGATCCCCCACTGGTTGCTGGAATGTCTCTCTTGGGGACTGTAAAATAAGGCTTGTGCTGGGAATATGTCCAGGATTAGGCCTAGAATTCTGTCCGCGCATTTAGGAAAATAATGGCTGATTTCTGTGCAATTTTCACCAAAAAATGAGACCTTGGACTATTAGTAGAGGATCTGATTAAGGTTTGTATGCACATAATTTTGGAGAGAATATGTCAACTGGTATAGACTAATATGAACCCTAGGAACAACATGGGGTGTGTGCCAAAATCTGTATCCGGGACAAACAGCCCGAAAATGACCACACCCTTTTTAAATGGCCACGCCTCTTTTTCATTGGCGGTGCTTCTTTAAACAGTAGGCTCCTTGGGGCAACTGTGGCTTGCAATTTGCAAATGTCCCAAAAAAAAAAATTCTGCATGACAATTAATAAATACTACTAGGCCTAGTAAGGGCCGGGCTAGCTAGGCCTCTAACTAGGCCTATACTAATAATTATATACTCTGTATACTCATTTATTTAATTAAAGTCTACAACGACCATATTACTGATCTCGTTTTCAAGACATCTGACCTTGGCCTAGATACTACTGCAGCTAACCTAGGCCTAGTAGTAGTAGTAGGCCTTAGTCCTTACACCTAGCTAGGCTAGGCCCTAGGCAGGTACACTAGAGATGGGCGCTAGCCTTGGCTAGTTAGGTGGTGTCTACCGCCGTGGTTGGTAAAGACGGACATTTTATAGGCAGCCTAGCCTAGGCCTAACCCCACCTAGCAGCTGGGAATTTGAGATAGCATATAAAATTACCATAGCACCAAAGCCACCTATCAATATTAAGTACTCAAAGCTAATCTCCAACGCGTCGGACTTCATTATATTCGTCATTGAAATGAATTTTTTTTATGAACTTTTCCTCTCCGTCGATCTGTAATGTTTTGATATCTGTAAAAGATTATTGCTGATAATGTAAGAAAAACATTATATAATTTTCATATATATTATAAAAAGATTTAAAAATAAACATTTATCTCATCATATTATTTTATTTAATTTTCTTGACATATAAATGGTATTTTTGGAAGAAATATATATTTAATATAAACATTTGATTTCTTGATTTAAGTGACCCCGAAACCCAAACATTAAGTTCAATACGCTTTCCGACCGAAGACACACAAGCATAGAATTTTTGCCACTCATAGACGTTGATCAATATAGAAATGGCAACATATAGCTCAAGAAACCGTGACTCTCCCAACATTCTCTTAACTGGTAATAATTGAAGTGACCTTTTTTTATTTTTAGCATCAAAAGAATACTATCGTTGATGTTTTAGTTGCTTTATCTCGGGTGGGGCACAGGCTTCGTTTGACTCTACACGTACGTAGCCGTAGGCCTACCCTCTGTTTCGCTCTGGCTATTCAAGATAGTTTATTGTTGTTTACGTTCAGGGACGAGGGGCCTGGATAGATCAGAAGGTGTTGGCCTAGGACTCGGGTATTCACTACTTTAAAGCAGTATACATTGGTTTTGAAGGCATAGGCCTATGTGTTTTTGTGCCACGTAAATAACTCAACGATGAACGCTATAGAATTAGATAGCATCAGAGTAATGAATGTTGCGATGGTAAAATAATGAAAATTAACGTGATTTTCATATAATTATTCAAATTATAATTATATTTTAGGCTCATGGAGTTTTGTTTGCGCAAATTGACGCGAATATAATATCTGCATCTAATTGTGTCATTTACAATATGTGAATATGTATTCAATACCAATACAGACTGCATTATTTCAGTTGTTTTTAATGTGAAAAGGATATGCTAATTTTTTGAAACTGCTCAGTAATTTATGCAGATTTGAGCAAAGGTTTTTTTGCATACATTTTAAGGGTGTAAATCTGATAGTGAAGTGGTCCATTTTTTAAAATAATAAAACTGAATAATAAGCCATTTCGTAGTCCTAACTGCGAATGCCCATATCAAGGTCAATTGACTTAAACAAACATACACCACATACACACAACATAGGTTTATGTCGATTTAACTTGGATATAGGCATGTGCAGTTCAGACTATGAAATGGTTTGAATTAATTTCACTTTGATTTCTCATTGCATTTTAATAGCCAGTTTGTATAATTAAAAGTGTTTTCTTTTGTTGTTAGGTACACCGGGAACAGGTAAAACCACTTTAGGGCAGGAACTTGCTCATAGACTTGACATGCAGTACATCAATGTTGGCGATGTCGCTAAGGAAAAGGAACTGTATGAAGGATGGGATGAAGATTATCAGTGTCCAGTTCTTGATGAAGATAGGGTAAACTTGAGCCTTATCCACACTATCAAGTTTTCTGTGACAAGTTTTTGTGATGTGCCCATAGCCATGGCATGATGATGTCATAATACACACCCAAATATGGGCATATTGCATTTTTTTTTCACATAAAATTTGATAATGTGGAGAGAGCTTAAATACACACCCAAATATGGGCATATTGCATTTTTTTTCACATAAAATTTGATAATGTGGAGAGAGCTTAAAATTTTGTAATGAACATAAAAATATGCTAAAGTGTATCCAGCATAGATGAACATTGATAATTTGCATATTGCATTTTTTTTTTTTCACATAAAATTTGATAATGTGGAGAGAGCTTAAAATTTTGTAATGAACATAAAAATATGCTAAAGTGTATCCAGCATAGATGAACATTGATAATTTGCTGTTAAAAAACCTTAATTTGCATTTTTCAACTAACAGCTTATGTTACTTTCAGGTGATTGATGAAATGGAAGATATCGTGACAAATGGAGGCTGTGTTGTGGATTATCATAGTTGCGAGTTCTTTCCAGAACGCTGGTTTGACATAATCTTCGTTTTAAGAACAGATAATAGTATTCTTTATAGCAGACTGGAACAAAGGTTTGTTGATGGTATTTAAGTCCTGTCAAGACTATAACAAACATGTGACATGCCTAAATATGGTCATGATGACATCACATCCTGACCATATATAGGCACATCATGACTGTATGTAGGCGTACAAAAGTTAATAAATTTGATAGCCTGGACCAGGAGGGGGAGGGTCGTGCAGTGACAGGTGCATATGCACCCACCCCCAAATTACCAAAGGTCCACAAATAGGAGCGGTTTGACTTCTCAACCTTGAGGTTGGAGTTTCAATCCCCCGCTGTGAATTTCTGTAGTGTCTTTGGGCCTCTCTCCACCTACGAGTGAAAGTGGGTACCTGGTAGGTTCAAACAAAAATGCGCTGATTAGGGGCTGCAACGTATGTGTTCCATATGTCATAGCTTGTTGCAATTACCAGCGGTAATAATGTGAAGTGCTTGGAGGCCTTGGCATGAAGCGCTATATAAGTCTAACATATATTATTATTTTCTGTGGTGGAAAATTCAACTCGCTATTGCATGTAATGTACTAGAAATCCATTCACCAAACCTCCTTGAATTATCATACAGCAGTTTCCAACTAGTCTGCCTCTAAGTTGTTGTTTAAGCAACAACTTTTATGTTCTGTATTTGTATGAGATTTTTGATGAATTTGAGTGTTTTTTCTCCGCCGCTTGCATGTCAGTGACTTACCGTGTATAAACTAATCTTCATTCTAAGTTTCACTAAAATCGTCTCATTTGGAAATCATCCTGGTACAGCAGGCGCAGATTTAAACCCTTTGAACTGTTCAGCATGGCAAAGATCAGCCCCTCCCCCTCCCAAATTTATCAAAATTATTTTAATAATTGAGAACAAAAAGAAAATTATATTTAAATTTAAGTCTGAGAGTGCCATTACCGGCCATCTAGAAGTGCCATACTCAAAATTTTCTTTACATACATAATTGATACACCCTCCATCTGTGAAAGTCCCTTCCTCTTCACCATTGTCATCTTATTGCCATATTATTTGGTTACACTACCTGGACATATTTTTGCAAGTGTTTGTGTTAAGTGAAGGATGTAAAAACTCCCAAATATTATAATTTTTTGAATGCCTCTGATTTGTATATAATTTTTGAAATATTTTTATTCATTTTGTCTTTTAAAATGTTACAAGTTATTAATTCATACAACTTTTGTCTTTGAAACCAGGGGCTACAGTGGTAGAAAACTTCAGGATAACATACAGTGCGAGATATTTCAGACAATTCTTGATGAAGCCAGGAGTTCTTACCTGCCCAGCATTGTTTTCCCCCTTCCAAGTAATTGTCCTGATGACCTTGAGACCAACATAGACAAGATAAAAGACTACATTGAGAGATGGAAAGCTTCTAAAGAACAGATTTGAAGTTGACACTCAAAAGGTGGAAGCTAATGCTAGGATGAAATGTGACAGGGTTTGAAAGAAGTGTATCCCACCCTCAACCAATGTTTGGGCTTCATGGAGGATCCATTAATTCATTGACAATTTATGCAAATATTGACTTGCAAAAAAAAGTGTTTTTACCTTCATTTTTCATATCAACGTCTTGTAGAAATTCCAAAAGCTGAAATTATGTATTATTTTCCTAAGCTGCACATTCATGTTAAAAAGAAAATATATTTATCAAAAAGTGTTAAAAAGGAAATCAAATTGTTTTATACATTTTTATTCATGTATACAACACTGAATGTTGCCAAGCATTGTATAAGAAATATCAACATACAATTAAGATGGGTTGGTGATTACTGTACTCTCAACTTTGACCTAATTGAACTACTGTATAGCACAAAATAGTTTTATTCCTTCTCTTTATTGAATTTTAATATATGATTTTTTAGACATATTTGGCAAAATATGTTTATAGTGTGAACTTAATGTTACACTTATTCTTTTTGCATTTTTAAGGTAATGTTGCAAATATGTATTGTTGCAAAATGTACGTGCAACATTTGAGATAAACTGCCACTTAAACTGTGTAAACAAAATTTGTAATATTTTAGCTATCATGTAGCATTAAAGGTACTGCCTATGTTTAGCTACAGTGGTAGCTCCAAACATTTTGACAGGAATCCAACAAGTATAATAAGGGGTTCGAACCAAGGGGTTTAAACCTGTAGGCAGGATTTTAAAGTGGGATTCTAATTTTCACAAAAGGGCACTTTGAGTCCTTACCCACCTCAGCCCTACCATTTCTTGGGTGAATTTTAAAGATTAACACCTCAGATATCCGGAAATGGCAATAAAAATGCCAAATTTCAAATATTCGGAGTTAATTTCAACAACTTCGATGCAAATAGTGCTTTTTAAAAATAATTTAAAAGGGCATTTCTGGAAAAGGGGTTGGGGGGGGGAGTGTGTTCTATCAAACTCCTCGCTTTTAAAGAACAATATGAGGAAGTGGAATCTCGCATTCCATTTGATTGGCAAATTGATATTAGTTCTGTGGTTTCAAATGGCGTCCATGCTTGTCTGTTCGTTAGTATTTTGTCTCCTGAACCCCCACCACCCGCTGATGCCATCATTGATGAGTTATTATACTTGAACAATAAAATTTAATATTTGAATTTAAATTAGTTATTATATTTTACTTGAAGTTTAGAAAAAGAAAATATTTTCCATGCCACTTAACAGTGCATAAATCAGATGTTCTTGTATTTTTGCGTAGACCTTTATTGGCTGGTAATTAATTACTTAAAAAGAATTTTTAACTCCTCGCATCAGCTAAAAACTGAATTTTTTGATCTGTCTCATTGATAAATTATTTGATTTTTCCAATGAGAGTGAGCAACTAATTGACTAAGACTTTTCTAGATTTTATCCAGACAGTATAAAAAAAATTATTTTATCTTACAACTCTTTATTAATATTGTGTAATTAATTGTATTTGTAAAAAAACTTTTTTGCTTGAGTTAATGCTTAATTTAATGGAACTTACAGATTGATTTCATTCAAAATTCAGGTCATTATACATATATTTTTTGAGTTTTTTTATGGCTAGTTTTTAGAAATTACAGCTTTTTTTATGGACTGTTCCACTTCTAGAAAGGTGTGGTTGAAATGAGTATCATCATGTGAACCTAGTGTTTGAATTTGTGTTTAAAAAATAATAAAAATATTTAATAACAGTACCAAAATATTTCTTTAGGAATAAAATATATTTGTAGAGATTATGTATTCTTTTCAAAGAAAGTTATATACTGAATCAAATTACAGTATGCAAATTACGTATGTAATGATATGATCAAAGTTTCTGTTGCACAGTGGTGTATCTAGGGGATGCATTCCCCAACCGCTTAGTTTCCCCCATTGAAAATGTTCAAAGCATAGAAATACCCTCATATCACCTTATTTTGCAAGCGTCAAGTCCCCATCAACCCCCCCATTTCAAAACTCCTAGATATGCCACTGCACTGTAGGGTGTCTATTTTTCCCCTTCAAAATAATCCACGCAATATTTGTGTCAGTTACGTGAATAATAAACTACTGACAAAGAGGTATGCTACTGCATAGTAGAATTTTCTGACAGAAATAGTGTGTGTTGTAACAAGGACTTTCAAGTCCTTGGTTGTTGTAAGCGTTCCATTTCTCATATATTTATAAGAATATTTATTTGAATATATTAGATATTCATTTACACCAAAAAAAAAAAAAAGCCTCATGCAAACTGCCCCCTCAAAAACCAATTTAAAATTTAGGGGCATAATTCAAATATGTTAATATGTACCTAAAAAATTGGATATCTCAATATTTTTAAATATTTATTTCAATAAAACCAATTAAAAAAGTACAAAGTAGTTCAGATTGATTCTAGCCTGGTTCTCACGAGAGACCTAATATCCGGATCGGGAGCTAACCGTTAGCACCTATGTGAGAACGCCTAATGGTTAGTAAGCGCTATCGGTTAGCAAGTGAGCGCGTTTCCATCATCAACCAATCACACTTACGCGTTTCCATTTCCAGTTTCTTGTTGGCCAGTGATTCGATCATCATATTCTTGGTATCCGGATCGGGATTTTCTCGTTTGGACGCATGGCAGCTAACGGTTAGCAGGATCCGGATCCTGCTAACCGTCAGCTGCCGTGTGAGAACAAAGCCAATATGAACTAGTGTCAACTATCTTATAATAATAACCATAAACCAATGATAAATTAAAAATATGAGAGGTAGACAATATAACTGTAGTAGGTAAATGATGTATAAATTGTTGAAATTAAATAACAAAAAGTACAACACTTGAATGAGATTGAGTTTTATTGAAACATAATTCTATGAGAATAGTTCTTCTGTTGTTTCATTTAAAAACTCATTTATTACACAACGCCAATGATACTTGTATATAAATTTCCATATTATTATGCTTAAGTACAGTTGATTCACTATCATAAGTACTTTGCAAATGGCAGGGCTTATTTTATGATCACTGCCAATATTTTCGTTGCTGCGCAGTCTTAAGTGGAACTCTTGACCAATCAGAATTCCCTTTTTAAAAAATTTAATACATCCGCCAAAAGATCTTTTACTAGCAACGGTGACACCAGAGGCATTTCAGGAAGCACAGAACTCCTGTCAGTGAAGAAGCCAGCCATAAGGAGGAGCGCTTTTAAGAGCATTTTTACAGGCTGCGAGTGCTGTTTTCAGGCATCTAGAGTTGCTTATTTGCTTCAAACATGGTGAAGCTTTCGTAGGTGTGGACCCCATGGGTCAGGCACCTTGAAATGGCAGAGAACATAATTACACCATTTTCTATGACAGTGATCAGTTTTTACAATATGGCTTATTTAATACTGTACAATAATTGTAATAGAATAATACTAAAATATTAGAAATGATCAAACATGCATTAGATGAAAAGACATTATACAACAATTACAGTATCTATCATTTGTTAAATTCATTTTAGCAATGGTTTGTCATGTGGGGTTCTTTTATATTTACTTATGTTCTTTTAGTTGATTTTCCTTCAAATAAGATAATATAGTATTCTAAATGTTTTGATAAAATTGAAAAGTAGTAATTCTTTGGACAGTGTATAATACAATATTCAAACTAAATGACTAAACCAACCTTGACAATTTTTTAGTATAAATAATAAAGTAGAAGTTTATTGTAAAATTTCCCCCACAAAATAAAGGAATGTGTATTACTCTTGTAACATGTTTTTTAACACGTTGACTGCCAAGACTTTTTTCCTTGTTCCATCCCATTCGTCAATGCATAAAGGGCGCCCACCATAATGAAAATCATGTCCATCAACTGTAGTGAAACACGAACAAACATAATGTAGTTAATTTTAGTTCATTATTTCCAGGACCTTCCCTGGACCTCTAGGGCGAGAGTTTGTGTTCTGGCGACCATTGCCAGCGAGTTTACATGCAATGCAATAGTGGTATGGTTGGACAGGTGTGGATGTGAACTCAATTCCTTAATGCTCTGAGTGAACCCTGTCGGATGTGAACTCATGTCTCTGGCAGCAAACGTGTTAAAGAAGTTCTACTGATCTATTTACATAATAAAAAATATTTCAAAATCTAGCTCCAGAAATTTGCTGATAGGGTTTCAACAAGGGGGAGGGGGTTTGAACCAAAGGGTGCCTGGAGCCTTAGGATCCCAGAATTAAATTCCTGGTGTGGTTTATGGGGAGAAGTTATGGTTTAGGATCCCAAAATTATGCTTTTAGACCACAATATCGTGAATTGGCAATCACAATAACGTTGTATGGATAGGCAAGTTATTTTTTATAAATCGACGACCTTGTCATATTGTTGGAAAATAAACATATTAAAGTACACAAACTTTGTCAGACAATTACAATATTGATATCATAATCTGGCTTCACTTAAAAATGTTACCTACATCTCTGATTTTTCTTCTATAAACATTGATATCTATTGGACAAAGGTTCTACCAGAAACTAACAATTATGAAATTAGAAAATAACTGGTAAAATATTGCACCTTCCTTGACCTCTAGGTCAATTTTTATTTACTGTACATACTAATGTATGTGTTATAAAAAAAAGTTATCCACCTATTAGGCATTAAACTCTTTTAAATGTCTTTGAAAAAAAGCAATAATTAATTTTGGTCTAACAATGGGAAGAAGATATAAATTTAGGATTTACATTTTTGTTCTACCAAATAAAAATCTATATAGCATGTCTAACTTTATTATATTTTAAATGATATAAAAACTATAGCATAACTTGCTATTTATTATATTACACATACAGTTGAACTTGCCTAAGTCGGATCCAAAATGGCATTGAATATTTTTTTGACTTAGATAAAATTTGAATTACAAATCGTTAATTAATGGAAAACACAACAATTTGCCATGTAAAATATGATCGACTTTGAAATTATTCTAGTTAGGCAAAGTCGACTAAGGAAAGTTTAACTGTATAATGTATTAAAACCTATATGTATAGATATTTTTATCTATTATACATAAGCGTATATCTTAACCATTTGCCCGTTTTGTATACAGTACTTACCTGGCAATTATATATTATACCAGTTTTTCAGGCACTTTCAGAAAATTAGCACCTTCAGAAGCTATTAGTTAATTCTAAAACTGGGCAAGGCCTGTATAGCTAAAAGCAATTTTTTAAAGCACCTGGAAAAATGTGGCACACAAATTGTTTTATCAGTCAATTTAAAATACTGCATGCTGAATTTGGTTTCTTCTTTAAGGAACTGTTTTCCAACTAATTGTAAATATTGTGTCATCAAATTACAAATTGTAGGACTTTATTGAACTGATAAAAGATTAAACAGAGCACTAATAGTGCCAGGAATGGATAGAAAATTGTGAAAGGTCAAACGATGACATCACAATTGGCTTAAAATTCATTCTATAGAGAGATTATCTCTAGCCATGACGATAACTGGAACAGTATTTTAAGTCTCTCTGTACATTTTTACAAAGTTTACATTTCATGCTTGTGCATTTGTCTTGGATTCTGGCATCAGTACATACCTTGCTGAGCAACTGAAACCTCCTCCATAAACCTGATAAGAAAAACAATGTATATTAATTATTTGTTGCCAGGTCATAAGTAGAAATTGTAGCCCTTTATTTAAAAATAATATTAAAAAAAATCTTGTTTCCACACCCAATTGAAATCACCATACCAAGTATTCAACCAATAAATCTTCATTATCTTCATTTTCATTATGTCCTGAGAGAACATACACAGTTGTTTTGCTCTGTTTACAATATGATTAACAGAAAAAAACTAAACAAAAAATATTAAACAATAAACAAAATGACACTGTGGCAGTGGTGAATAAAACTAAAGCTAGATGTACTAAACAAAACAGAACTGCTTCATAAATAGTAATTGGATTGATTTGGTATGTCATTGAAAGCTCTAACTGCTTCATGGTAAAAACTATCATTAAATGTGACCTTATTGGCTTTTAATGGTCAAAATTGCTTGGCATTGCTGGAATAGACTTGAGTGATACTACTTTACATTATGTAATTAAAATGAATGTGGAGTACTTACGATGTTGAGTTGTGAATGCAGGTGCCTGCTAAGACGATCCGTACTCCAGGTGTTGTTTTATTCAAATTGTAGACAGCAAATGCTTCCTCATAGGTGATGCCACCAACCATAAACACAATGACATCTTGTGGTCTAAAAAAAAAGTACATTTCTACCATTTATTGTTTATTCAAACTTGGATACCTGCTAAGCTGGGCAATAATTGCTTATTATGACAGCGTGTCAGTATCATTATTATTTTATTGAATTAGCATGGTTACAAGTAAAAAATATTGAACAGAATTTCGAATTCCACAGTTGAAAAATGCCATATTCATTTTGAAAAGAAGCCCCTCTTTATTTTTCAAGCCCTGGGGTAAATTTAAGTATATTTCATATTAACTCACCTGTTTTTGAGTTGTCCAGTCCCTAGGTAAGGAAATGAGGCTTCCTTTAACTTTCCCTTGATCAGTTGGTCCAAAGTTTCTTGTAGTAATGGTGTGTGCTGAGTATAAATATTTTCAACCCCCTAGAATGAATAAAATAAAAAAAAACAATATATTAACCCTTTAGCACCTAGACGCCCCAAACCACCCTGCGCATTACTCCCTCCTCCCTAAACTGCCCTGGCTATTCAACCAGCTATAACTTTTGTTATACGAACCCTAGCGTGACGCGAAAAATGTCTACATAAACTTTGGGAAATCTCTTTTCAGAATATCTCATCATCCAATGAGGTTTCTATTTGAAACCTATAGTATTATAGTATATATAGTAACTCTTACTTACAGGCATTCGCACTAGCGATAGTGATTGTAAACAGAGCTTGTGTCCTCTTTATATACGGTTGATATTGATAATACAATAAATGTTTTGAAGGTTTGAAATTTTTAATTTGACACACCACCATCCATTTTGTATCTATTATTTACATGCCTAGGCCAATGCATACTTTGTACAAAACACTTACTTAGGCTGGCCTCGTACATGTACGTAAGTAATAACATATCTGCAAAAGGTCTAGTCTTAGAGAGATGTTTATGACAGCGTGGCGCTTTTGGGCTTCAGTACCACTATTTGCACCACACTAGCAATCAAGTAGGCAACTTGCTTATTCATCAATAAACTCCGAGTTTTGCACCGAAAATGGTATATAAAACTGATGGAAATTTGGGAATTAGGCCATTGATGTTTTATCACCCTATAATATTATATAATTGTAGACTTTTATTAATGCAAAATTTAGAAAAGGGACATGCTGGCAATATTTTTTTTTAGTAAAAAACCAATAAAGGTCAAATACAAGTTGAATAGGTCAGACAAAGGTCAATGTATCAATGTCAAAGGTCAGATAATATATGTCCCTCAATAAAATAATTATATAATTTATTAAAGTATGCAAATTCAAAATCATTTATATAATTAATACGAAGAAAATTTTGGATGAAATGTTAACTATGATAGGTCAAAGGTCACAATTTCAAAGTCATAGGTCAAAATATTTTATATCACTGGAACGCTTATTTAATATGCATCAAAATAAAATCAACTTGTAATGGAACATTTTCAAAAATAAAAAAATTATTACAGTTTATTTGTAGTAGAGTCTAATTTCTTTCATATACAGCAAACTCTCTAGGGAGTAATTGACTACAATACATTACAACTATAGGTGCTAATGAGTTAATAGTAAAAAAATTGATGTTAATAATAATTATAAGTTTCACTTATACAGCGCATAATGGTGTTCTATTTTAAAGTGAACAATGAAAATAGACTGTTAAACAGTCAGTTGGGATTTTCATCTACTAAATTTTAATTTGACCACTTTTAGATCTGCCAAAATTAATTCTAGTCAAAAATAGTATTCAGGCTTCGACTACTCAACCAAATAAGAGGGTTTTGAAAACTTACCTTCATTCCTTGGAAGAATTTCTTTGTCATTGTGATAGCTCCTTTTTGTCCAAAGAGATCACTTCCTCTCATCCTTGACCCGCCAAAGTCCTTAATGGAACGAACCATCTAAAAAAATTCCAAAACTTTGTTTAAATTACATATAAAAATACCGTACATAAAATTGAAAATTTGTCTCTTATGTGTTACCGTTTCAATTAAAAATTAAAGCATAAAAAAAAAAAAAGGATGTAACCAATTAGATGATATACGTATATTATAATATTCTATATTCTTTGCACAGATCATATTCATAATTTTAATGGAATTTTTAGTGATTACTCAATAATTAATATGGTGGTACATCATTAAATTGACTTTTTTTTCTTTTTAAATTTTATAGTAATTTGGTGTATATATTTATATATATATTTTGTAATATGAAATTAATTTTTAACTTTTCTAATGTAATTATTTGAATGTTTTGATATTTCTATATGCATTTTTAATTTTGAATTAATTGACGTTTTTGAAATTTAATTATAATAATATGGTGTATATTTATATATATATATGACGTTTTTGAAATTTAATTATAATAATATGGTGTATATATATATATATACATATATATATATATATATATATTTGTAATATGATATTAATTTTTAACTTTTCTACTGGAATTATTTGAATGTTTTGATATTTTGATATGTATTTTTCCACCTGACTTGTTTTCCTATGTTGTCTTTATTTGTAGATTGTAAACAAACGTTTTCAGCCTTTGGCTGTTGTTTTGTTTTGTGTGTTATACCTTAATAAATAAATTAAATGATACTACACTACAGATCAGTTAATATATACAAGAACACAATGCTCAAAATTATTTAAAGACTAACACACAACTCACCGCCTTGTTCTTGTCACTGATGCCTCGCCTATTCAACGTCTGCAAAAGACCTACGTAATCATTATTACTGTGATTCTCATGACGAAGTCCATAAAGCGCCACTAGCCGACAAGCATCCACTTCTCGGACTCTTTCATTCACAATCAGTGCCCGTATTTTCTATCAAAAGACAACCAGATGTTGACCATTTGTCGGGCATACTAAGGGGGTATTAAGTTTTATGGTTTTAGGCAAAGAACAGAACCATAATAGACTTTTGCGCTAAGCCCCGCCCCTTGGATATTGTTGTTAAGATTCCACAAATTGACAGTGTTAAAATATACTCAAACACGGGCGCTGTTCTGATTGGCCAGTTGTTAAAGCCCCATTCCCGGCAAAATTTCAGTTTTTAAGAAAAATCTAATTTTCGTATAATGTTATAAAGATTTATAAATATAATACACAATTGCTAGTTTTAACTGAATTTAGACATTCCTAAGAATGAAAAAAATGTAAAATAAGACTGAAATTTGATTTTTTGTGTTCCACACAAAAAATAAATGCGGATGAATTTTTCATTTTGATTTTGCGATAAGTCGTGAGAAGAAATATCGTAGGCGCCGAAAACATTAGCCAATCCAGCGTTGCTAGGCTAGGCCTAGCCTTACCTCGATTTAGGTTCTGTTATCACACATAAAAACGGCCGACATGATATTTTCCGTTGCTAGTATTGACACTTGTGAAATATAATATTTCATAGGAATTATTTCAAATTTGTTAAAAAACTGATTCTGACTGAAATTTTGACACTTAAACTAATATATCTCAGCCTTAATCGAACGACCGCATTGTGCGAGATACGAAGTACAAAAACTAATCTCATTAGAGAGGGCGCACTTTATTGACTGTATAAAAGTATACATAAAAGCGAGAGTATTCCAGTGGATGCGATCGACAACCTCTGAATTTGCCTAGTAACGATGAATTCGTCCAGAAAATGATAATATTTTATGAGAAATAGTCTGTATTTCTCATTTTTTTTATTCTTTTGCGTAAACTAAAATTCATGCCAATATTTTTCCATGATTTGTAATAATTGGAGAAATGCAAATGAATATTTTCTAAAAAAAGTCAGTTTTTAGTGAAATTTTGCCGGGAATGGGGATTTAAGTTTGATTGACTTACTTTCAATGCCTCATTATGATCCGACTGGCAAACCAAGTCTTGCTCAACCTCTGATACTTCCATCAAGTTGTACTTGCTGACAAGCCGCGACAATTCACCAACAACAGTCACATGTTTAGCAACCGTACCAGACATCTTCTTGAATTGTGGGTAATTCTCCACAAAAGCCTTTGGAAATTAAAGAATGGAAAAATATTATAACATTCAATTGCTAAAATAAGTTAACCACCAACAATAACTAACCACCAATGAGATGTAGCATTGAATATTGTGAACATCCTGTCAGGTAGCATAACAGTACTTACTTTCATATCTGCTATGGATTCTATCTTTTTGTTGTTCTGCGTTTTAGCTTGGAATTCGTCCATTAAGCCTTTAATATTTGATCCAATTTCACCAAAGTTGTTGTATAGGTTCTAGAATAGAAAATATTTTAATTGAAAAATTAGTGGTACAGTATTCAAATATGAATATTTTCTTTTGAATAAAAGAAAGATATATTGGAACAACAACAAAAACAATTATACTTGCCAATACTGTTATTCTGGTAACAATATATTTATTAAATTATAAATAACACAACCACTACCAACAATACTACCAACAATAACATGAAGAGATAGCTTCAATTAAATAACATGAAGAATGTAAGCAAATACAATATCCTCCACTTTGCTCCTTTGGGGTGTGAAAAACAAATGAAGCTTGCCATTCCAAAACCGCCGTAATGTCGCTAAATGTTGAACTGAGTAATTAGAATAAGAATGTAGCAGTATTGTATACTTTAGTACAGAGAAGCTATAATACTTTTACTCGTAACTTTGACAAATGACCCATCATTTTAAAGCTTCAAATATGGAGAATATGAATATACTAAAAAGTCAATTTCATTGTTTTGGTGACTATGCTAGTTTTGGCATGGCAGCCCCAAATAAAAAAGGTTTCTTAGTATAGTGGTCTTACATTGGCATAGAATTCATCATGTTCTGAAGACAACACTACTTCCTGTAGGTCACTTGAGATGCCTGGGACTTTGGACAGGTCAATGCGATTGTTCTTGATGGTCAGCAACTCATGAACCATTGCTTGGTACGTCCACTAAGGAAGGATAATAAAAAAAAAAATAATAAAACTGACCCATTAAACATTTTACAAATTATTAATGTGAGAAGCGGTTTGGCCCAGCGGGAACAGTTTGGTCCCCCAACCTCGAGGTCGGGCTTTCAATCCCTCGCTGTACATTTTGCTTGTGTCCTTCAGCAAGGCACTTTATTTGCATTGCTTCTTTCCACTCAGGAGTATAAGTGGGTACCTGGCGAGGTTGCCTGCTCCTGCGCTGATTACCAGCAGCAAAATTTAAGCATGTGAACCCACTGATCAGGGAAAGGAAGCGCTTTGTATCTACAAAGAAAAGGCACTATAATAATAATAATAATAATAATAATAATAATAATAATAATAATAATAATAATAATAATAACAATAATAATAATAATAATAATAATAATAATAATAATAATAATAATAATAATAATAAATAATTATAATGATGTCAATTTGGAAAGTGCCAAATCTGCAAATGGGCTCATGGCACTTTTTTTTCACACACACACACATTTAATGCTCTGTAGACTAATAACCAATTCACAGAAGACAAAATAATACACAGCACACGTGATAAATATTACACATAATTCCTGAGATATTCTACGAAAATCACTGTCACACAAACATTGTAAAAACTGACATGGAAAAAGTGACGATAATGAAAAAAATGCCCCATCTAGACAGCATGTGTGCAGATCTATGGTAAATATCTTGTGAGTGTTACAGGCCTCAGAAATGTCTGTCTTCATTATATAAATTTACATGCATGATGCATAAATATTTCATGGTACCGTACTACTCTCACATGGACGCATTTTAACACAGACATGATGTAGCAGAAGAAGACGCTTGTCAAATTCTTCAGGCATGCACATGTAAAGATCTTGTCTCATGTGCATTGAACATTAGTCTCATTATGATACTTAGGACCTAAAGTTTGCTATCAGAAAAATTATTATTTAAACATGAAACATTACCTGATTAAGTAGGGGAGTTACTGGATCATCCCTTCTATCAATAATCAACAGCAATGGCGGGACGTCTGTCCTCCGAAAGTCAAACAAACCGGCATCTTTGGAGATCACTTGCTGTAAATGCACAAATCAGAATGTCAATTTTCCATTGTTAAGGTCACAGACCAGAGTCCGAAAGGTTTTTAGGTAGACACATATTTTTATATATTTATTTAAACTGCTTATTTTTATATAGAGATGGAACAAATAAATGACCATCTTATGAAGAAATAATTACAACATAAAAACAAAAATGATATTAATAGTAAGATCATAATGGTAAGATATTAAATGCTTGCAGTACACCATGTAGATAGTTCCGAAAAGAGCCATTGTTTTTGTTGAGCATGTAGACATTTAAATTCAATTGCTTCAATCATATTCAGAGAATAATATTGTGATTGGAAAGTGACACTTGATGCATATCAGCCGCAAGTCTCACTTTCCAATCATAATTATTTCCCTGTTTGGACTACCTGCAGGTATTATTCTCCTGATATGACAATTAAATGTCAAGACATTCTGAACAAAAACAAAAACAATGCTTGTGGCGTACTACAAGCATTTAATTTATTATTACTTCGCCATGCAAACCTTTGAACAAGATAATGATAAGGGTAATAAAAAAAAATCAAAAAGAACAATTAAATAATAAAAATACTAAAAAAAGCAATTATGTTCCACTAAATATATGGCATTTTGTGAAGCAATGAGATAAAAAAAAAACATCTTTGCCATACTTACTCTGACGTTGTCAGCAAGTCGCTTGGCCATCTCAGAGGAGTTTTGATACCGGATCATGGGGCATTTTTTGAGTGACAGTAAGATAGCTGTCAATCCGGAACAAGCGCGGTTTAATGACTTAGGATTCCAGCCTATTCAGTTCATTTTGAAGAAGTTCAATGTTTTCCTGAAAGACAAATACCGTAAGGATTTTAAAAAGTACAAGGAGCCCAAAATACTTGTATAATGTCCAAAAAAATTCCCTCCAATCATCAAGCCCCTTCACATCCACATAAGCCCCCATATCCATATTTTTATGTTTAAATATCTTAATTCTTTAATTATATTTAATTAATTTTATATATATATATTTTTTTTTGGATTTAATTTCTTTAAAGTTAAAATGAATTCTGATCAATGATTACATATTTTGTTATATCTATTTTTGTATTCCACTTACTTAAATATTTGCTTTCAGTATTTTGTTAATTTTGTTTTATTTTATTACAACTGACCTTTTTTATTTATAATATTGTATATGTTAAACTGGATGAGTGACATTCACAGACTTTGTGTTATAGTGATTAATATTGTACTTGTATTCTGTATGTATTCCACCTTTGTATTGTATTGTACTTTGTTTTTTTTTTTTTTTTTGGCGAATAAAAAAATAAGAATAAGAATTCCATTATGTGTTACTGATCATAAATGTATAAGCCTGCTAGTGGTTAATCAACATAGTAGGGCAAAACAAAATTTTAATTTAAACCAAGTTGTAGAAAGGTGAATCTCTGCAATGCTTTCAATTCATATTCTACAGTGTTGTCTCCATTACAACACTAGAGAATATAAACTGAGTCAATGGTAATATTCCTAGAATAAAACCAGTATACCGCTACATTTTGTCTCATATCAGTGGATCTTCTTCAGACAATGAAGCTGAGTGAAGATGTTGTTAGCACCCAGCTTCATTGCCTGAAAAAGATCGAAATTGACAGTGGAACGAAATGTAGCGGTATAATATACAGATGAACTTGTCGAATCTAAAATGCCACTGAAAAATTGTTCGACTTAGATAATAATTCGACTTACAGATTGTTAATCAATCAAAAACACAACAATTTGGCATGTAAAATAAGTTCTACTTAAAAATTATTTGAGTTAAGCAAAGTCAACTTTAGGCAAGTTTAACTGTACACTTATAGTACTTGTTTTTTTTCATTCTAGAATTGTTACCATTAACGACCAAAAAACCTGATGAAATTATCCAAAGATAAACTGAGAGTTCATAAAACATTGGTGAAAGGGGCGCATCGTCACTGTACTCTGCCTTACCTTTGTCGGACGAATAAATACAATGCACCTAAGATGCTTCATAGCCTCACGAGAATTCGTGTCCAATAGTTCAAAGAGGTAAACTTCTTTCTGAAGGATCTCTGACTGTGCATACACCATACTCACAAAACTGATCTAAATCAAAAAGAATGGAAATTGCCAAAACAGACGGGAAAGTAACAGGAAAGCACATTCAACAAGGCCAAATGAATACCAAATTTGTAACATTCTTTTGCATAGGGTTAGGTGCCTCATAGAACTTACTGACAATTGTGTGAAAAAATACTCATGTACCGTAACAACTTTGATTTGAATGTTACCAATAGTAATCTGTGGAATTCATTTTGTGGTTTAATAATATACTGATAATATGATATAGCCTAGCCTAGATTTGTAAATTTTAAGGCTGAAAACACAGGAAAACAAGGTGCACATTTAACTTTCTTGACAATAACATAATAATAATAATAATAAAAACAATAATAATAATCTACCATAAGACTAGGTGCTGTGTGCAATCAAACTTACAGATAAAGTGTGTTTTCAAGTTTATTCTTACAGAATTTTTAGAATTTTACTAAATAAAATGTTAAAATGTGGTTTGATTAAATAAAAAAAAAACCCCAAAAGAAATACCATGCTAAAATTAAATAGGCCTAGTATTACTATTTAGGGCACAGGTGGGCTGGATGCGGCCTGACAGTGATTTTTTTGCAGCCCGCGAAATAAAACTGAATTAAAAATGAACTAAAATGAATTAAAAACCCTGCCAAACTTTGATTATAAAACGCCTTGTTATTGAGGCTCAAGACACCGATCATCTGTAAAAAATAATGTTAAAACTCAGAATAAAGTGGTATAAAAGCAGTGCATGAAGGTTTTTGGAAGCACACCGTAAACAAGTTTGAGTGCAGCCTTCAGTGTTAAATTAAAAATTCACTTTGGGCCACCAACTGATATGCCCACCCCTGATTTAAGGCCTCTTCTTATCAACATTCAAACCCGGCTCAACTCACTGGGTTTATCCACCTGCCAGTCTGAACTAGGTGGCTTACCTCAAGTCGGGCTGTGTTCTTATAGTAACTAGGGCTGGCGCGCCACCGTGTGTAACTTTTCCAAGCCCGTCTTTTAATCGTTGTGGGTGGGGGGTGGTCTTGCATTGACTTTGGGTGACAAAATGACCAATCAGCATTCAATTACATACGCTGTGAGCGAGCGTACGTTTCGCTAGCAATGTTTTGAAACATGTTTGCTGGTTACGGTTCATTATTATGCAAATTCTCGCCTAGCTAATCCCGCTATTACTAGTCTGAACGCCCGCTTAACGTTGAGCCGGGCTTAACTCAAGCCTGGCTTATCTTCAAGTCTGAACGTAGCCTGAAACGTATAGGGATTTTATAGCTGTTGTGCATGGAATTCTTCAGGTAACCCCACCCCCTTTTGAAGTGTTGATTGGTGGAGCTGGCTTGACCCTAACCTTAAACTTCAGTACGGCATGTTGGAAGAATATCAACAATTATAACTGGCACGGCACGGAAACACAACCTGGTACTAGCCTAGGCTAGGCCTAGCTAGGAGTCTAGGCCTATCATCACATGATCTATTCCTGATCTTGCATTACTGTATTATTATTATACTTCTCTTGCTTTGCAGTCCTGAGTCAAGGATGTAGGCCTTCAACAGGTTACACTCAATACTCAAGATTAGGACTGGGCCCCTAGGCTAGGCCTGACACGATGGTCAAGGCACAGGCTAGGCCTGCAGTCGACACTTAGGCTTAGACCAAGCGCCTTACCATCCATCGCTCAAGCACAGACGTGACAGGCCTAAGCTTTAGACTTCATTACATAACTCTTACCGTTTCTCGGTCCATGAGTAGAACTTTCATCCCAGGACCACTCTCTTCTACCATTTTTGCAATGTACTGCTTTACTGCCAAAACAACATTCATTTTGATATTCTAGCCTAAAATTAGTTCAGATGTGAAATTTCAGAATGATCATCCGCCTGACGATCAACCCCTCTACATTATCATTACAGAAAATATTACTCTGGTGCCCTCTATAATTTAATGGACGGTTAAAAAAAAAAATATAATAATAATAGGATGCTTAGATTTTCTCGTACTCTACATCATTTTTAAGAAACTTTGTAAATGTAAATACAGAAACTTCTACATTCTTTAGCTAAACAGATTCAGCGGCGGATCCAGCCCCCTGGGTGTTGGGAGATAATCTCCCTTAAATTTCTAGCACTTTTAATTAGATGTTGTATTTGATTGACATTTACTATTTAGTTTGGTAATTTGTTAATAAGCTTTAGAAAACTTTTTTTTCATAAAAAAAATAGAGGGGGACGTACGCCCCTTATGCCCGACTCTAAATCCGCCACTGCAGAGTGGCACTTACAATAATAGGTTTTGAAGTGATGCCTGCAAATATAAATCGAGTGAAATTGGTAAGGCTTCTTCCTTTCATGCGCTTTCATATCATTCCATGTTAAATGGCAGTCCTCTATATGGGTCACATGATTATAACATTGAAAACATGTCCACAGTGTTGATTAATCAAAGCACGGTTGTGTGTTGACTTAAGAACATCAATGAAAATGATGTTGGTGTTGCACCAATGTGAAAGTGAGGAAGGGGTGGTTGGGGAATCGAGTGATTTTTTAACTACGTTATTAAGTTGTTGCTCAGAAATTAATTTGCCTTGAGGTTACCAGGATAAAAGCTATTCCTACATCCCTTTATATGCGCAGCCACTGTTGATTCACAAGATGGGATTCCAGTACATACTGTAAACCATGAAATTAGTAATATTTAAAATTTAATAAACTGTACTCTTGTAGGTTAATGATTAATGTACTTAAAACATACGTATCAACAGTGTTTACATCCATCTCTGTTGTTGGACTAAAATATTATTTAGCTAATAATCCAACTCAATATATTGTTATTGAAGTGCCTAAAATCGTGGTCGAAAAGCACAATTTTTTACATAACAATATCATGTCTTGTCGTGTCACCCCCTGTTCCCATAAATTTTGGTTTGGGACCTGACCAGATGCTCAGGTGGCCTCTTGGTTCTGACCCCTTGCTGACTTCTTGGACCTTCTGTTGACAAATTTCTGGAGCCAACATGGCCAGTCTCTAAAGTTATGCTTGTTTGGGTTAAAATTTAATACATTTTCAATGGAACAAAAGTCCATTAAGAATGCAAGTTAGAAATAAAAAATAAATGAAATTTAAGAATATCATTTTTGTCTGAAACAGATTTAATTGACATCCATTTAGTAAAAAGTTTTTTCAGCAACATCATTCAGATAACAAAATTCAATTGTACCAAAACTTGAATTATAACTACCACAGAAGTTACCTCTTTGCCAGAGTAATCACATGATCTTCATACTGTTTAATCACATGGCCTACATATTGAAACATAAACTCTTGATATACAGACATTGTCATTCATGATTTAAACAATAGTAAAATAATAATCAATATGAATAAAATAATGTCTTATTTTGAATGAAGGCATTACATATAATTGTTCCCAATAACAATTATTAATGGCAGAAATATATTAAGTTTTTATTTTTGTAAACACGACTAATATTTTCTGAATACTTGATTAATCAACACAATAAAGAGTATTTTATAAAAACGATGATTTGTACTGAAATTTGATTTGCATTATTAATTTAATGATTGAATTTTGGTGTGAAATACAAAACCCATATACATTCTGGGAAGTTAGTCTTTCTATTATGTATCTTGTCTTAATCTTATCTTACAAAGACAATTATGTACTTACACTTGCATTAAACAACTGAATTAAGTACACCACCAAACCAAATTTGCCTTATTAAATTTATATAAGTTGTAAACAAGCTGAAATAAGATAGAGCACCAGGGGGTTTGATATTTATAATACTGGATTCAACAGTAAAACTACTTAGTCATACAAACGCTAATGTACACTATTTACATAATGACTTGCTTCTGTGCAACATGCTCTCTATCGATCTATACATCTGCATGTTAATTATCTACACCTGTATATTCAGTATGTACATAACTGTAATTAACACCTGGGATTTAATTATCGGTGCTTACACCTGTACTTCACTATCTACTTTATCAGCATTTATACTTTCCTACATATAGTAGTAACACAAAGCTTCAGGCCAGGCCAGACAAAGTCAATCACCTCTATCAAGCATAAAGAGAGCTTTCCAAAAAAAGTAAATAAATGTACTTTCTACAGTAAAATCTAAAATATTTTCCATAACAATTATTCCTTTACTAAAAAAAAAAAAAAAAAAAAACCCTCCCAAATTAAAAAGTTTTTGTCAGGCTTCCATTATCAAAACAATAATAGGCAACTCTGCTTTCTCTATATATTATAAAAATTGAGGGTGTTCTCATTTTAAAGAGAACCAGCAAATAGTTGGTTTATGAAATAAAATATTTACAAATGTATGTACACAATGCTTAAAATTTCAATACATTTGCAAAGGTCTGTCAACCTTAATTTATTACATCAGCTACAGTATGCTTATGTGTTCATCATTAATTTGGAATCATGTATATTTGGCAAGAAATTCAAAGAACTAATATAATATAAAGCACATCATTTGCATAAATTTAAATAAATGTCGACCAAGTTTTTTAAATATGTAAATTGCATTACTTCAGAAATTATAATTAAAAGTGGATTTCTCAACATAAATTCTGCAGATTTAAGTAATTTGTTATTAAAAGGTATAATGATGGTATGTGCAGCAAACACAGCAAAAATGAATACTTTTTGGATTATTAAATTATATTTGAAACTATGAAAGTATAATTATATAAGGCAATAAGTATCATCATTGCAAAGCTGAAAGTAGTACAAATATAAGTACAAAATATAGTCGGGAAATTAGAAATTGGAATGATGATTTTTGCCCGACTCGACGTGTTATCATACTGAATGATATTTTCAGTGCAATAACACGTCAGGTAGGGCAAAATCTTCATTACCATTTTCCTGATGCAAAACTCCACTGGAATAGCATTGCAGCACCTGCTGCTACTTGAGGATCGGATTGAACTCTAGGTTAGTTATCTGGAGGTTGTGGGTTCAATTCCCACCGGAATCACTTGCAAGATTTTTTTTTTCACAAGTATTTGGGAATGCAATGAGCTTTCAGTATGATAACACAGCAGGTAGGGCAAAATCATCTTCCTTACTATAAAATATAGGTTAGTAAATATGCTTGGATATATAAACAGATGGTAATAGTAATGATCAATACACTATATGTTGCATCAACATATTTACTCTTGTTAGGGCCATATACGACATATTATGGTTATGGGAAATCTTGTATAAGCCATTTCGGCCCATCAACGTAATGATGTTGTGACAGAAATTTTTGGGCTAATCTTAGTTTCTTGTGTGTTTCAGCTTGAGAAGCTCCATTTAAATCAAAAGCTCAAATACTGACCTTTTAACTCTTTGCATTATTGAATAGAATTTTTTTAGAAGAAATACCAGGTGAACAACTAAAAGTTAATTAAAACCACATTCTGAAACTATCATATACCATATCATTTTTGTCCTTCAAGCATCACTGTCTTTCAAGCATCACTTTGGTAAAAAATCATACATTGGCCCATGTACCAAGATACATAAATCCCATCAAATTCTGCTATGCTTCTTAAAAATGTAAACATCCTGAGATTACCATCTTAGTATTGGCTGTGGTTAGTCACATGTCCATTAACCATTAGAATACTGTATGGTGAACACATATGAGCAGTTGGGAAAGATACATTTATATAGAATCAACAATATGGACATCTGCTCTGCTAATTTAATGAAAGCCCAGATAAGGCCAGTGTCTCATAATCATCACAGTGCTATCCTTGTGGGGCATATCTGTGCAGACCCTAACACAACTGGATAAGATTTCTTTATTTGGAAGTGCAGCTTCTGTAGACTACATGATTGAAGAACTTCAGTTTTGCATGCTGGAAGGGTTGTTGTCGCTAATATTCCGGATCATACTTCGTGTGTATTCCGCATTTGGACAATTTGCTGGAGAGCATTCTGGACGGCTGGATCCATATTACCCTGAAAACAATAAATAAAAAAAAATGATGGCTTATATGTTTACAATACATATCCATGGACTGAACAGCAATTGACTAAAGATGACAAGAAAATACAGTGATGATAATGTTATTGAAAGAAAAGAGGCAGAAGAACTTAAAGTAGAATACACAATAATAATAAATAGAATATTGTATAAAACATATTTCCAGTCTGTAATTGGCCAGCTGAATGCAAAAGAGAAAAAACAAATAATAATGGTGATAATATTTATTTTGATGACAATGATGAAGGAGTTGTATCTTGATGGGCATGGTGCTCTTCCAATTATGTGATCAAACCCTGCAAACAACTCAAATCCCTAAAAATCATATTGATATCCAGATTATGCAGCACAGAGATTGTTCCATGTTGCAAGTGATAATTCCAACCCCTAATTGGAAAAGATGAGAAATAGCTTACTAAAACAAGGATAACTGACCTGTACAGCGCTGAGAAGGTGCGACCGATATGTTGCTATGACACTTTCATGATGCTGTAACATATCGTCCATCTGTAGCTCCATCTTCTTCATTTGTTTTTGTAGTGAGATTTCATCGATGAACTTATCGCTTCCATGTTGCTGTCTTCTCCAGATCTCCTCCTCATTACGTAACCGGCTCAACTCTTCTTTCATTTTTTTTATCTCTTTCGACTCTTCCTCTTCTTGGTTTTTAACTGGCGAAGTTTTTGTTCCAGAGTCTTTGAGTTGGACAACTTTCTCTTTGAGTTCACTGTTCTCTTTCTGTAGTTCAACAAGTCTTTCAGCCTCTTCTGTTTTCCTCTCAAGTGCAAGTTTGTAACTTGTGACTGCTTCTCTTAACTTGTCGTTCTCACCTTGGAGTTTTTTCATGAATAATGCATTGTTCTCAATCCGGTTTTTCTCTGCCATCGCTGTTTTCTTAGTCCTCTGAACCTCTTCCTCCAGTTTTTTGCACTTCTCTTCAAGTGTTCTGACTGAGTCCTGAAGCATCCAGTTCTCTTTCAACAAATCCTCAAGTTTTACATGTTGTTCATTATGATTGGCAATTGATAACTCTTGTTTCTTCACCAGCTCTTCCAACTGTCGATGCTCCATTATAACCTCCTCAAGCTTTTCTCTGTCATCCTCAAAGTCATGGATCTGTGATTGTAATGAGTTAACTTTGATCTCTAAGCGATCCCTCACTTTCATTAGTCCATCAATTATGTTCTTATCTGACTCTGCCTTTTCTTTCAGATCGAATATCACAACTTCTTGCTCTTGGAGTTTATTTCTCATGGTTTTATTCTTAAGTTCTGACATGTCCAACTGTTCTTTGACCCCCTTTCTTCCAATCTCTTTCTCTTGTGTGAGAAGTTTATGTAAATCTTCATTTTCCAGGTCTTTCTCTGTTAATGATCGACTCAATGATTCGATTTCCATGGCTTGGTCAGCAAGGACTTCAGTGTGTTTACTGATAGCTTCTTCAAGTTCACTCTTTTCATCCAGTACCTCCTGATACTGCTGGACTGGCACACTAGGGGCATTGCTTCCTCTATGCTGATGAGAGTAGATTGCCATAACACGAGCATTCTCTTCCATCAGCTCGGCTAACTGAAATCAGACACGAAAGAGTAATTATAAATACTGATACCAAGAAATAAATATTATTACAAAATTATAATTATTTACAAAATTGCAATAAAACAATAAAGCTATTGCTTATTTATTTCCAGATCCCATGTAACGCTTCAAGAAAGATGCCATATAATCTTATCATGAATATGAAGGTGAATGAAAGAGAAAAGCATTTGCAAGCTTTTATCTGATTTTGAATAACAGCAATTGCAAAATCATTCTAAACTTTTCTTTTTATTACACATTAAAAATCTTGTTCATTTTATAGTGGATTAATGTCATTATATAGTTTTATATATATGGTTAATATATATATATATATATCTGTCTCTTATACACATCTACCCCACACCACTAAAATCAATTTTAATAAGAGTGCCCGACTGTAATATTTATCTTACCCTCTTGTCCATTTCCATTCTCTCATCTTTTAAATCACAGATGATTTTATTCAAATGTGAAGTTTCCTCAATTGTTGCTTCTCTCATCTCCTCCAACTCTGTCACTGGTACCATTGATCGGTTCTCCAGTTGTGAGAGTTCATCCTGGAGCAGCGTCACCTGTCCTTCAAGCTCTGAGATGCGAGTGTCACTTGTATCCTTCAGCCTCAGGTAATCCTCAGTGGGTACCCGTGATGGTGAGTGAAAGGGGCTGTTAGAACCGCTGGAGTTTTTCTGCAGGACATAAAATTTCATGGTTGGATTTATCTCTCAAGAAATGTATTTCTTTATTATCTACTTATTCATACTTTTTATATTTCTGAATTGAACGTACTATTGTTTTGCCTATTGGACTAATCAACACAAATTTCATTTTTACCATGTTGTTAAAATGTCAATAGGAGTATCATTTTATTTATGAGAAAAAAATATTAAGATTTAAAAATAATTTAATCCAGAATCATATGGGACGACCAGTTTAAAGCCCCCAAGTGCCCTAACCTACAGGATCATCTTTGTTGGATATGATAAATCCAGTACTAGATGAATCATCCTTCTTAAGTTCAAAATTGAGTATCAAGGGTCCAAGAAAATCAGCCACAACAGAAAATTGGGAATAAATAATAATAATACCCTACAGAGCAAACCTGGAAAACCATCATGACATCTATTAATTAGGCTTAGCATTTCCCCCAAGACAGTCTCATATATTTTTCTCTGAAATTATCTTCATTACGAATTAGGATAAGGTTGCCATGGTAGTGGTTGGGTTAGTCATGTATGGTTTAAATTATTCAACCACGCGAGGGCAGCATTAGTATATTTTTTTAAAGAGTAATTTGGAGAACCTGAGTATTACCAGCTTATACAAATTGATATATTAATTGTTTATGTAATATATTAATTATAATAAATTTATATCAGTATTAATAAACTCTATATTGGAACACACAAAAAGTAAATACACCAAAAGGAAAATCCACAATTTCTTGAATCAAAAACCTGAAATTTAAATCTAAATACAATAATAATGCATGATAAAAAAAATTATTATTCAATATTAGACATTTTAATTTACCTCATTTTTCATTTTAAGTGTGGCATTTTCTTCCTTCAGTGAGGCAATCTGATTGGTCAGCATTACTAACTTATCGGAATTGTTCTTCTGTGGCATGATCACATGGGCTTTCCCTAAAGTTGGTGTCGTACCTACAAATAATAAAGACATAACTCCAATGAAATTGCCTAAGGTTTAGTGCCACAAGACATCAAAGATGGCTGTGATAAACTCCGCATGTTCATGGTGACAGTATTTCAAATTGATTGGAATGATAGAAGTTATATCAATGATGACAAATCTTTCAATTACTGTTTCACTCTTTGGCTAAAATCCAAACAAACTGATGACCTACTTAACATATCTTCAAAACGTGTTAAATATAAATTGAATAAATAAGGCCAAAAAATAGTCATTTTGATGCCTTAGTCAACCATTGGAATTGATATTCTTCTTATTATTATTATCATCATCATCATCATTACGGCTTATCATATTTACAATCATTATCATCAACTTTAATGTCACCACCATTATTATCATTAACATTATCAGCACCAAAACGTTAATTAAATAAATAAGGCCAAAAATATACACAGCCATTTTAATGCCTTGGTCAATCATTGGATTTGTGATTCTTATTATCATCGTCATCATCATTATCATTCTTATAATCATTATCATCATTATCATCATCCTCATCACAACCTTCAAATACTTGCATAAGGTATTTTTACTACAACCAATCCTTGCCACACCACCACCACCAGCATCACCAACATTCAAATAAAATCATCCATTTAATCCTGTAAAAAATGTAAACATCCAGAGTTCTCCATGCTTTGATTGAAATGACTGTCTAGACACTAGCAATATGTGGAAGCATGTGATGCAGTGTAAGGCCTTGGTCTTCAAGTGAAAGCTTATTGAGTTTGAGTCACAATCTTGTCTATTTTGTGTATGTCCTTAAGCAGAGCACTTATCTATGTTTGTCTTTTTTAACCCAGGATTATAAATGGGTACCTGCTAAGAATGTTAACCACTTGAAATGAAATTGGGTAGTGTTGAATTAGAAGTATGACTACAAATAATCCTCAGGGAGTAAACAAGGTTACAGACTATTTTTTCAACTTATGTGCTACACAACATGGCTAGAAAATATATAAACTATTACATTAATAGACAAAAAAGTACTTTGGCAGTTTATCTCTCTATTAATCAACCATTAACCGGTACATGTACCATACATGCAAGTTATGATGAGCTATAATTTCTTTTTATCTATAGTTTACATAAAACATAAATTTTAAATGTGGCAGAGACAAGCCAAACGAGTCACTTGTCGCAAAATTGGATTTTTAGTTATTAATACAGAGTTAAACAGCAAAATGAGAGCTATAATAAAATGGTAAAAGAATAATTTAAATCTGACATTTCGTTGTGAAGTTACAGGAGTTTAAACATACATCTGTTCAAAGAGCAATATTTGAGAAGTCAGCCTTTAAAGTTTAGGATTTCAGGCATTTTTCAGGCAGAAACCATCACCAAATCATTAAAATATTGTTGTTTTAACATTGAAAATGGGGAAAATAACTGTATGGTATGGTTTATAGATATATAAAGGTTAGTTAATTGCAATAAAATAAATTAAAAAAATTTTGACATCCCAGGATGTTCTGGCAAAAATCTCTGAAACAGGATTCACGATGAGTGACTGGTTTGGCTTGTCTTTCCCACAAATAATACCAGTCATTTTTAAAATATTTTTTTGTAAAAGGTGGCTACTTTCTAAAGCTTTGTGAGTTGTTCTTGTAGAACTTATTGTAGCCTCCTTCCATGCAATCTATTTGTTTCAATTATATTATACTGTATCTTTTTATTACTGAATTGTATGGAAATTAGGTATATTTGATTTAATATGACTTCACATTTGCGAGAGCTGTTGTGATAGTAGGTTGATGTTTTACCTGGCAAATCAAAGAGATCTTCATCACTGTCTCCACAGCTATCGTCCTTATCAGCCTCTTCATCCATATCTTCCGCAGCCTGTTGAAATAATTTAAAATTACTTGCATTTTGTATTGGATTTTTTGGTGTAAAACACACCTAGACTATTGTGTTGGTAGCATACATATTGGATGAACATCTTAAAATCCTTCAATACGATGGTGAGCTATTTTAACTTGGATTTCAGAATTCCAACAGGGTCCCTTTCAGTGTACTCAAAGTAGTTCCCACCACTTTAGCCAACTGATTTTAAAGTCTCTATACAGCATAATGATTTATGCAACAAACAAACTAATATGCAGATAATGTCTATACTAGTAGTGGCAGCTGGCTCTTGCATAGACTATTTGCAGTCATTGACTGACATTGTGGCGTCAGTGATATAATTTAATGCTCACACTTTACAGTTGAAATATATAAACATTAGTTCAAATAATATTCCCTTGACTGGTACTATCCCCCTGGGCTAGGGGAACCAACTAATCAAGGACAGGATCTTTCATTTCCTTTTTCAGGTTACATTTTGCCTAATGGATAAGGCACCTACTGATCTGCAAGCAGATTTTTTTTAGCATATGTAAATATAATTTAGAAATACCAGAATATGTCCTTCTTTTCAGAATTTGAATTAAAACAAGGGCCCCACTGAGTTCCGGGTGTAAAACAAAACGAAAGTTAAGTTCTTTCTGTGTCACCAGATTTAATAAAAAATATAATTAGAAATGCATCGTTTTTTTATGACGTACCTCAAATGCTGCTAGCCTTGCCTTGAGTTCTGCGATCTCCTCTCGAGTTGATATCTTCTGTTGCTGCTCATTTGCAAGTTGATCTCTGAGTTCAAGAACCTGAGGAAGATGTCAAACAATATTTCTAAATTTATAATAATACATAAAATTTTGGAAAACAAAGACCAAGAATCATTAAAAGCTATCAGTTTTTATACCCAGGTTTCTCAATAGGTGCCCTGCTGGTCAAATGCAGTCAATTAGAAAATTTAATCTGGCCCACGTAAAAATTAGAGTAATATTAGTAGTTTGAAAACCATACAGGTTGATTGTTAATTGTGTTAGTCATGAGCTAACCCAGCTCTGTTAACTTAAATTATTCATGAGGAAGGACATAGCCTTCAATAATGATTAGGTTATACCTTAAAAAATAATTTTATTAGTTTCACAAATCAGGCAGCCAGGATCCATTAACCACCTAGCCTTACCATTTTCTATTCATGTTCTGAAATTTTTTTTTATAGCATTTATGTATTATTATATATTTACTCTATCCTTTGTAACATGCTATATACTTTTTTAAATTCTATTTACAGAGTTTTATTTATATATAATAGGTAAAATGAAAACAATGAAAAAATATATATTTACCAGTTCTTCTGTATTTTCTGAATTTTTCCCCTGAAAACAATTATAAATTAAAATTTAAAAAAATAGGATCTTCTGAAATCTTGCATGTAAATTTGTGACATTTATATATGTTAATTTGCTAATATATAACTGGTTTCTTGAATAAATAAGTTGATCATTAATTTTCTGTAAATTGAGAGAAGTTTAATAGGTTAAGGATATACAACCACGGGCTTAAAAAAATCAAATACCCATTTGAATTTCATGTTGGCGAATCCCTAAAAGACTTTCCTCACTGTTCTGCTATTTTATACCTTCATACTTTGATAGATAATTCCAAGGGAATGATTGGTCCCAAGGGGAAAACAAGAAAATGGCCCCTGGATGTAGAATCTCATTATCTTCTCAATTATTGCTTATTAGTGTTATTATCTCATGAATTATTCATTAATTACTTAACATAACTGAAGGTTATGGTTGACTGAACACAAGGTGAAATATTTCCTAAAACTATCATGTATTTATTACTCATATTTATAACTGTCAATAACAACTTAAATATAAACAAAATATAATCATCAACCATTGAAAGGCTCCTCAAGCATTTAATTTAAAGTATATAATTACAAAAAGTTATAAAATATTACATTTTTCTGTTGTTCCTCCAAAAGTCTTTCCAACATCTTTACTTTTTCTTGTGATTTGCTTAGTGATATATTCATTGTACTGAGCTCCTCATGTAAAACCTCATTTTCTTCCTCTAATTCCTGAAATATAAAGTGATACAATAAAAAACAAAAATAATAAACCAGCTATAATTAAAACAGAAGTACTATAATATAAATTGCATTGTACAATTGCTGGGGTTTACACTGTGCTTAAGTCCATGCCATTCTGCTTGCTGGTGAATATGCAACAGCATTTTTTCGTTTTCAAATCAATCAACATCAAACAAATATACAACCAATGAGTCATTCATTCAAACAATCCATCTTTCATTCGAAGAACTGATTGATTAATTAATTAATTACACCATATGAATAAAATAAAAATAAATCAAAATTGTTAATATTCTTGTTGTTGCTATTGCTACTATTACATCACCGTCACAACCATCACATCATTATAGTCACTGTTAAATTTTTATCATCATTATTATTGAACTGTTTTTTAGTTAACAATGTTAATAAACTGTAATAATAATACAGTATTGTAATAATAAAAATAATAATGCTACTTTAGTTATAGACATATTTAAAATTAAATTCAAATAAAATATATAAAACAATGCAGGAAATGTAAATTAAACATACATTGCCAAGCTACAGAATTTTAAATACAAGTTAATCTGTAAAGGAAATTAGATGTAACTGTAACTTGTTATCAAATCATTAAAAATAAACCACACATGAATTATAACATATACAAAATTATTCTATGAATCTAAAGAATGACTGATGATTTCTAAATTAGTAATTTGCGAACTTGGTACTTTTTTTAATAATTCAAACCATTTTATAATAATCAATAATAAATGAACTAATAAAATAGACAATTAAATCAGGCAACTAACGAATTAATCACTTAATGTTTCAATCAATCAATCACTCACTCAGTCACTCAGACAATCATTCAATCAATTAGTAATTAGACAATCAATAAATCCATTATATCAACTAAAAATAAATTTTTCCCCTAAGGAAACTTTTAGGACTTTGTGCACTCAGAATTGCCTGAATATTGGCACTATATATGTGACACTGTTAATTGATTGACCAATCAATCAGTCAATCAATCTATCACTCATTCATGAATTTATCTAACTTATCCATCAGTTATCAGGTTATCATGATTATCAACACAAAACCCTTCTTTTTACTCTTTTAAGTCATCGTTCAAGCCACTCGTGGAGAGGTCACTGCACATGTGAGAATGGCTAATGCCAAGTTGTAGATTGATGGACTTGGCTATGCCTACTGATACATAATCAGCTCCCATTTAAAGATATTCCATCTGTATTAAAATCTTGAAAATTTAATTTCAATAAAGTTTATATTTATTATTATCAAAAGGGCTTCAGGCCATCGATCTAGCATGCTTCCCCAAGGTGCTGTAACTTCTGACAATGCACACAAGATAAACAAAGACCCCATGGTGCGACCCCAAATACTAGCTGCACGAAGACCTGTAAGAAAACAGATGCTTTAACGCATATGACTTTCTATTAAGATATAATAAAACTTGAGACACAATTGGATATCCACTAATTGCATGCCAAATATCCAGTACCAATGTGTGCACAGTTTTTTTTCGAGTTTACGTGTTTACAAACTTATGCGTCATATACACACACACCCACATAATTAAAAACAAAGAAAAAGGTTAACAAGGCCAATGCTGAGGATTGAGAAGACTTGCTATTGCTTAGAACGGTAATCAACAATCATTTATCAGCAAATTCTTCGCTTTCTGGTGTCCAGCAGTCTGATACTCACCGATAAGTTCCTCAATTAAAAGTGCATTCTTAGATTAGCATAAATCCTGTTTTTACCAAAATAATTGACAACCAAGGATGAGATGCACCATTTGACTGACGGATGGATAACAAGCAGAATACAACATTCACAATCAAATTATGACAAGTTTTTGAAATCAATTGTGACTTATTTTAATAGGCTTTTAGTATTAATGTGTGACTTTTGAGTAGCATGGTAAAATACGTGATTATGCCAAGGACTTTTAAAAGCAGCTGTATTATTTATATAATATATATTATGTACATTATATTATATTAAGATTTTATTTTATCTATCCACCTATACACCTACCGTAGATAAAGATGATGCGGACAGTTCTTCACAGGCTAACAAGCCTATATTGAATTCATGATTCAATTAAGTTTGTTAGTTTGACAGTGCAGTTTACCTTGTCAATATTGTATGTATGATTTACATTAACAAGACTATCTACACCATATCATCTTATCTGTCTATTCTCTCTACCAACCTAGCAGTACTCTTCAGGTAAAAGCAGGAGCGCATCTCAGTGTTGGGGGTGGTGCTATACTGCAGCTGACTAGCTACACTACTAGAACCAATTTCCATCAAATTGTTTGGAGACACATTTGCTATCGCCATAACAATACTCTTCAATTCTGAATCAGAATCTGAGGACCCCACTGGGGTATATGCGTCATTGTGCATCATTGATATGCAAGCTATTTGGTGTTTTTATTTATCCATAATTTTATCTATTAAAATATACATTGGATGATTTTATGTATCCAAAACACGGTATATAATTTGGTTTAGTAAAATATCCTGACATGCTACCTATATTTATTAAAAAAATATATTTTTGTTTGCATAAATATACATGAAAATAACTCACAGGCTCAAATGTGTAAAGGCCACAAATTCAATTCTTAAAACTACAACCATCCAGTAGGTACCCTAAAATTAGATTTCCTGTTCAGCAACACAATCAATCACAAATACTAAAATGATACTGTCAGGGTTCACTTACTAAACTAAAAAGAAAACACAATTAAATTAGTTAACTTGTACATATAAGTAACTGCAATTTTAAACATGTTGGTTTTATATTTAAGCAAGTTATTGCAGTATTATTCATAAATTATACAGTAACTCTCTTTTTTGCATTGACATTCTTGCCTTAAAATGCTTGGTAATCAGTTTGGGTGTTTTTCTTTTTTTTTCCTTTTTTTTTATTATAATGAAAGTCTGTATTTCCCCCACAATTTATGCCTACCATCAATTGGATGTTATTACTTATTTGATCCTTTTACTTATATAATTAAATGTTTACATTTTTTTTTACACCAGACTTTACAACTGACAGCATACCTTTATTAATAGGACCATAAACATACCTTAAGTTCTCTCTCCGTTGCTGACTGGGTCGAATGATGTGAGAACTGTGAATCATTCAATGAGTCCATATCTCTACCATCACCGTTCTGCAGGTGCTTACTTGTGAATATTGGCAGCGAGTTTGGTACCGGTGATTCTCCTCGGTCGGTCATATCAAACCTATCGATAAAATCTACGACGTCTGGCTTCACCTCGTTGTCATCCTCCTCGTTTTCTGTGGATCGAAATGATAGCGAAATGAACATTTCTAACGCACACTGACAGTTGACTTTCCTGTTAGTAATTTTGAAGCAGGAAAACCGTGATTTGTGAAAACCTTGGCAACCGCACAAGATATATCTTCCCACAGTGCTTCCCACACGTCATGTGATTCAGAGCAACACACTAACATACTGACACAGGTTGCAGCATACCCAGTGGACTTGAACATTCATAAGTCTACCAAATGCACACAATGATTTTTTTTTTCTATATAATACAGTTAAGAATAACATAGAGCTTAGCTGTATTAACTATAATCCTTTCACAAGTAAAGATAAGGTAATCAATAAGGTGATTAATAATTATGATATTAATATACCAACACAATATAATGTTCTCAAATTTCAGAAATTCATTGATTCACTGATTAAAATCAACAGCAAATAAATAAATCCTCTTTATTACAAAAACATATATATTAGATGTGTTAAGAAACCTCATTAATTAAGACCTGTCTGAAGTGGCTGTTCCAAACTGAGGACCGATGGATAATACTGTTTCTCAAAATGAATTGTAACCCTTTTTTGGTTTTGTTTTGTTAGGCTTGTTTTATGAGGGAAAATGCTTGTTTTAAAGGAAGAAAATAAATGAAATAAAATTGGAAGTTGATTTACTCTTTTAAATAATAATAGATTCAATTTAATTAAATTGTGAAGGGAATTATTACATATTTTCTCAAAACATGCTTTCTATTAAACAAAAACATTTTTTTTCATGTTCTGTTTGAGAGATTTTTACACATCATGGAAATTATAATTCATGATAATTTCATATCCAAGTTAATGAATATAATGCCAATATCTATTTTAAAAGTAGGCTTATCAATTATAGTAATTACGTTATTAGTAACAGAGTGAGAGCCAATTTATTATGTTCCTTTGTTAGTCAATTTAAATAGTTCCTAAATTCCAGAACTGTTCGCATTTCAGATGTCCCCAGGAATGTGAAAAATGAAAATGAAATGAATTGTGAAATAGTTGATATGTAAAACGTCTAGACATTTAATGGTGTAGGAGAACCATCTTAGTGTTTTGGTTCGAATCATCTGGAAGTCACATATTACAGGTTACTAATAACAAAAAAGTAATTCCATATCAAGTTTGTGTGGGTATAAGTTGAAAACTTAATGCATTTTGATTAATTGCTTAAAATACAAATTGATAAATGTAATGTAAGCACATTTTTCACAAGTACATATACTGAAGTACATAAATCATTGAGTGCAATGGTATACTTAGCATAATTGCCTCTAATAGGAGAGTACTGTACACGAAAATCATAATAATCATAATAATAATAGTGATAACATTAATAATAATGATGATAATTAAGGAGAAATATTATTCAATTTTGTTCCACCAATGTAAAATAGCAAATTTACCTTTCTACCTTTCGATCACTACCAGTGACTCTTGCCAAGTGACGATGTTGTTGGTAATTGATAATAATGATGATGATGATAATGGTGATAATAATGATAATTAATAATGATGATAAAGACACAATATTAACAATACAGTAATAATAAAAATAAAAATATTCAGAAATTTTTACCACACCAATTCTGCACTTGTTTTTCCTGTTTTTCCCACTAGTTAAGTTGTTAATACATATATAAGAATTTAAATGACATTATTATTATTATTACTTACTGATGTCCCACGTGGCTACTGAGGGTGCAGAATTCAGAAGTTCCTTCACGGCATCTTCGGTGCAGTTCTCGGCATAGAAGGCCGCATCATGACCCGTATTGTCCTTGATTGTCACATTGGCGCCGCGTTTAACCAATAAATCAATTACTTCTTTGTGGCCTTTCTTGCAACTTAGAATTAAGGCGGTTCTTTACAAATTGATAAAAATTATAAATTAGACTTGATTTATATTTCAGTTGATATATAAAATAGAAGTACAATTCTAAAAGGATAAGTATAAATGCTATTTACAACTCCCTAAGGGGCAAAAAATAACCTGTCACAAATTTCAGTTCTTAATTCCAATATAACTACTTAGTATTCACTCACTGTAATAACTTGTCTTGTTCATTGACAACTGCCCCCCTTTCAATTAGTTCTCGGCAGAGGTCAGCATCACCATTCTCGGCCGCAACCATCAATGGTGTCTTGCCATCCTGGAAGCAGAGATTGATTTTACATGAAAAATGTTCGTTCATGAAACATGTTGATATTTTAAGGATTTTTTTTTACATACTTTCAAAAACATACCTTATCTTTTGTTCCTACAGGAGCACCCCCAAGCAGGAGTAGTTTACAGCAGTCACTATGGTTACTGGCAACTAAATATTTTAAAAAAACATACCAAAAAGTTGAGAATTAAAATTACTAATTTTTTCTTTTATTAAAGGAGGGAGGGGAGGGGATGCCAATTGTTAAGGGCATTTTACAATACAGTAGTTCAAGATTCAAAGAAATGATGAACATTTATACATTAAACACATAGAGTATAATTTAGATGTTATTACTAATGTTATCATTATTTACTAACTTCAATGACCATAATATAATGCAATAAGCAAGCTGTTTACTTTACCGGCAAGCTGTAATGCTGTCTCTCCCTGGATGTTGAAGATAGTAGCGTCGGCATGAAGTTGAAGGAGTCTCTGGATGCAATTGAAATGCCCAGATTTGGAAGCGCAGTGCAGGGCGGTACAGCCTACAGAAGGAGAAATGGAGAAGAATTAGCATTCATTTCTTAAAATAGCAGGCAAAAAATAAAAAAATTACTACTTATAATATTTATTTAGCTTTACTAAAGATAAAGCTTTTGAAATCTATAGACTGGTATTTATGATCAATAAAAAAAAAACATTAATTTAATTCTAATCACTGAATACATGTATAAAAAGCTTATAAAGTGATGATTATAACGATGTTTGTATATATAATCACCAAATTAATTGTAATCTATAGCAAAATACACTGTTTTAAAAGTATGTCAAAGTTAAACTGTAAATTCTCTAGGAAACTAGCAATTATAAATTATGTAAAATCAGAGATATAAGTAAAGAATAAATATCAGATAAACATGTAGATATTTCTTTTACAAGGCAGTTTAGTAATTTATCATCACCAAATTGATTGAATACAACAAAATTAAACTTTATTATTTCCTACAAATTCAAGCTGGGAAAATACGGCTCTATGCCTGACAGGAGAGGCCTTGATTCCCATTTAAACTTCTTTCCTTGACTTACATTGTGGCTTAATTTGGATATATTTATAATATGAATACTTGAGATTTGGGAAAGCAGTTGTTTTAATGTAACTGTTCTGTCTGATCTTTAGTTAGACAACTTAATTCCCTGAGATGAGTCAGGATGATTTTGAGGTTTTACTTATACTACGGCGATCACATTACAATTGGTTTTATAGTGTTACAACAATTATTATCTGAAGGTAATAGAGGTTTTACTTGTGCTATGGTATTTACCAGTTGTAGCAATAGGGATCAGGAAAGATATTGACAGGCAAAGTGTTAAAACACACTACTTCTGTTGCTGGGAAAATTGATTATGATATAAATTGTTGTATTGAGGCATTAAAGGTGACCTGCATTTAATTCGACCTCTAGCTTGGCAAGAACATGTGTAGTTCAAGTGTGAAAGATAAGTGCTCAATTAGATTAGAGGTTACCAACTATGTTAAAGGCAACCAGAGACTTAAAATAACCATTCAAATCTGTAGCTAACAGTGTAGCAACAACATCCGAGGGGTGGGGTTTAGCCCAGTGGCAGTGCTAGGATTTCCCGACGGGGAAGAAGGGCTGTAGCCCCCTAATGCCGCTACTGATTTACCGAAGTACAGGTACTGTATTCAAGCATTCAAGATTGTAGCTGTAGAAAACTTGGGGTGGATGGTAGACATTTTAAGGTTCGATGGGGATAACATTGGAAAAACATATGTAAATGTAAATAACGGAAGTGGAGTTTAAGGATGGGCAAAGGGGTTAATAATGGTAGGTGGGGGGGGGGGAAGTAATTAGCTTCAGACTAGGTGGAAAACTACAAGGGTGGGTGGCCCTGCCCACCATAACTACATCCCTGACTGTATTTGTAAACACTACATTTAAAAGTGGTTAAAAATGCACCAATGACATGGATATAACAATCAGTCCTGGCATGTCATAACATTTGAATACTAATAATAGATTCTACAATACCTTTCTTATCAACAACATTCACATCAGCTCCAAGTTGCAGTAGAATTTCAAGGCATGGGTACTGGCCAAGTTTAGCTGCAAGGTGAAATCTGCCAAAAACAAGTAAATTTCACTGTAAAACATCATGTGATTGGCCAATTATTAATTTTGATTGACACTGTGGAAGGTCCAATATTAAGATATATTTAATGGAATTATTTATAGTTTGCATTGATTAATCCTGCAACTTCTGTTGTAGTATATACAGTATTGTATTAGGCATATTCTCTAGTCAATACTAAAAGAAAAATTAAAAGGATGAAACAGGAAAAATCTAATTTTTGCTGCGAAGCAGCCAATTCATATTCTTGACAGCAATTTGACCTCTGAAAGGTCATTGTTTGTCAAGAAACGAGTGCCTAAGACGACTGAAAAGCGGAGTTTCCTTCTTTCGTTCTGCCAGGTAAAATCAATTACTTTAGGCGACGTTTGTAGACTAACCTACTCGTACCAACGTCCGCATGTCGCGCTAGCCTTATCCTACACTAGGCCTAGACTAGCTAGGATGGTATATAGGCCTAGCCTTAAAGGGACGAAGGTCCCAATGAAAAACGTCGTCGCTCTTTGATAGCTAACATTGTCTATTTAACATCACAATAATTCATTATTAGACCTATAGTTGTTTTTTGAATTGTACTCCACAAATCTCAGCCGATACCTCGCACAACTGGCTAACGTATCTATCTATTGTCGTGATGTCATGGCTCGCTGGCTCACACTTGTGATATGTCTCGCACTTGTGATCAAATAACACGCTGGCTCGCACTTTGGCAACACTCTTTGGCAGTCAACTCGCCCCTAGAAAACCCGCCCTTGGAAACTTGCCCCATAAAAAAAATGTACACTTCCTAGACCATGCAGTCTTAAAAATAAAAATTGTAACCGTAGGTAATCAACTACATTTTCCACATACATAGAAATTTTTGAAACTTTATTAAAAAAGCCTAAACCATAATTCACCACACTATAGACACTTTTTGACAAAAATGAAAACTAACGACTTTGTTACTCAATGAGAAGTGTTCTAATATAGACAATGGGTCGTGTCTCATATTATTTTGTGTATAAGAGACAGCCACAGGATCTGTGACAATACCATGCATTACAAAATGGCATTTCCTCATTGGCATGTTATTCATAAAGGAATGGTTAAAGGGCTTATTTCCTATTTATTTTAAATGAGAAATGTATTCATTTTCTGATGATAACTTACACATTATGGTGCTTAATAAATCAAAGCCTGTTTTTCTGACATCTAACTAGTATTGTAAGCTTATCTCAGGCTTTAAAATATGGTATAGAACAATTGGTATATCTAACAGCTGTCTCTTATACACATCTAGATTTGTATAAGAGACAGATTGCTAGAATATTTGTA